AGATTGCTCGTGGAAGCTCTTGATGAAATTGCCATTGTTTTTGAGCAAATCATCTTCATTCTACTTTGCCATTGATCTTTCGATAATGATTCCAAACTTTTGACATTTCTGTATTTCCAATAACCACTAAAAAATCAATATCTAACACCAATAACCACCAAAAAATCAATATCTAACACCAATAACCCCCCAAAAATCAATATCTAACACCAATAAGTCAATAACTAATCTTTCAAATTGGTAGTCGACTATTTTTCGGAATATTCGACTACTGTAGTCGGTTTGGAAGCGGTAGTTGAAAGTTGAACCGCAAGTCGCAGTGACGTCATTAGTCGATTATAGCCGACTACTAGTTGAATATCGACTATAATCGTTTACAACCCTAATCTTCAGTAGAATGCTCTACCCCTAGCCCAACTGTTCTAAACCGTCAACTGTAACTGTTTGTGCGCTTTAAACTAGTTCCTTGATACGAGAATTGAGTATATCAAAATTACTGTTTTCAGGGAAGTTCTGCCCAGTTGAACAGATGATGTGAAAAATAAGATAGAAGGATTACAATTAAAAAAAATTCACTTGAGTTCGAGAAACAAAGCAAAATAAGAACGAGCGAGTTGAGAGAGTGAGATTCTGTTTTGAATGGTTGTATATTATGAAATCTCAAGTGGCAGTATATGCAATACATATATGTAATACACATACTGTCACGTATCATTTATATCTCGTTTCTTTATACGTAAACTATACCCTCTGATCAATTGTTTGTTTTTCGTTGCTCTTTAGCCTAAGCCTAAGCCTGAACCAATAAGTAAGAAAATTCGTTATCAAATGCTCTGTTCATAATTTGTTTGTTACATTTTTGAGATTCTGTTTTGGTTCCTCTAAATATCGAACAAAGTCTTTTCAAAGTCTTGCAGTTCTTGCTCTGTCTTCATCCAGCATAACAGCCTCTCTAGCTCTCTGTCCCTTTTAAATTCTCTCTGCTTTTCTTCTCTAGAGCATTTCAATTCATTCTTCTCCACTAAGCCGTCATCTGATGTTTATGCCATCTAAACTACTATTATCAGAACTGCTCTCTTTCCATTTCTTAAAGCATAACTAATATGATGTTTTTTTTCTTGTCTTTGGTTACATTCTTTTCTTATTGCGCTGCAACGGATCAGCTGTCATGCAATCCGAGATATGGAGGTACCCCTGTGCCTATCGGAGTTTTCATCGCAAAGTTTTAACTCCAAGATGTTACGTATAACTGTTTGAACCTTTTAGGTCGCATTTGGTGACGAAGCTTTCTGATATTGAAATACCTATGCGAATTTCATTACATTACATACAAAACCATTCATGCATACTAGATGGTTTTAAACTAGAGCTCATAACAAAAGATACTGGCGTAAGGAAAAACGTCATGATTGAATATCTCCTAATTTATACTCACAAACTTTTCAGTGCGCGACTTCTTTGGGAATGCGTGCGTTATTCGAATTAATCGCAGCTAGACCAAGGCCTGTTGCCATTTTTGGCGGAATGTGCACTGAGGTTTGGAGAACCTTTTTATAACAATCTGATGGTTTCTTTCCAGGTGAATGAACCAGTTGCAATGGCGCTAAAATACTGGCAGATTGTACAACTGAGCTATGCTGAAACCCATCCTAAATTTGCCAGCGCAGACTCCCTAGAGGTTAACTATTCACTATATCAAACTGCATCTTGTAACTCCAGTTGTATCCTACATTTTTTCGAATTATACCAGGAGATCGAAATATTAACAACGCTAAATGCCAGCTCATAAATTATTTCAAATGGAAGAAAGTAGGAACAATAAAACAAAGTGATGAAGCCCGTCACGCATTAGTATGTTTATGAACAGAACGCGTTGCTGCAACATGTTTTATTCAGCCACATGAAACGTTAACAACTAAGTTAGAACATGGTTATGGAATTCGAATCGCTTATACAGCCGGTGTTACACTGCGGGAACAGGATAATATAGGATATGAGTTGGATAATCTAAAAGTGTATACATAGTTTGTGAACCGCTCATCCATAAAAATTCAGGCGAAAGATGTGCGAGTGATCATAATGGATGTAGAAGAGAAAATGATCTCATTAATTTTTTGTGAAGCGTATAAGAGACACATGTATGGAGATTATTACGTTTGGATCATTCCCGGATATCATGCTAACATGTAAGGAACAGTCTTTTCGTCTTCCATTCTCTATTAAGATGGGAACGTAGCAAGTTTGGAAACTGTAGCAAAGAGCAAGTTGAGCTTGTATTTCGCAACCATTTTGCTGTACAACATGCATTATCTCGAAATGACTTCGATAAAGTTATAGTAGGAGGAAAGGTTCAATATTTTCTGAAAAATTGTTTCGACAATTGTTTCTTCTTACAGAAAGCTGGAGATATATGGGGCGAGCTAGAGAAGTCATCTTCTCTTTTACGTGGCTATTTATATGATGGACTATGGGCGTTATCAATAGCTTTGAGTAAAGCCCTAGGAAAAGATGCTTCTTTCTCTCATTCAAAGCTGTTGACTGCCATATATAACACTTCTTTCGAGGGCATAACTGTAGGTTCATCATTGGGCTTGAATTTAATATATCAATTTTATCAGGGTAAAGTTCAATTCGAAAACAATGAGCGTTTGGGGCTAGTTGACATTTTACAATGGAGATCCGATAAATATTACTACATAGGACGATATGATGGTGCAGAGAATACGTTTCAAATTAATGAAACTAATCTAGGAGGTTTGGATTTGAATGATTCAACGTTTCAGTTATTTTTCAAAGACTGGAATGCTCCACTGGACTCAACTATAATCGAAATTAGAAAGGAATATATCACATACTCATTATTTTCCGCTATGGCTTTCGCTTCTCTCATAGGAATTAGTTTGGCTATTTTATTCCTTTTTCTTAATGTAAAGTATAGAAAACACAGGTAGGGTTTTCATTGCCTCTTTCATTGATCTTTAAAGAAATCCCGAGATAACTAAGTCTTCTTTTGCAGATTTATAAAAATGTCCTCTCCCAATTTGAACAATATTATCATAATTGGTTCCATATTCACTTTTGCATCTGTCATTTTACTAGGTCTTGACACTAGAGTCTTGTCGTCGGAAGAATTCGTCAAAATGTGTTACGTAAATTCAACGATTTCCTTCGAACAAACTCCTATATAAATCTCAGGCAAAAAGCTGGACGCTCTCGTTAGGATTCACTCTGGCTTTCGGAGCCATGTTTTCAAAAACGTGGAGAGTTCACTCAATTTTTACTAATATTCGAATGGATAGGAAGGCGATAAAGGTTTTTTAAAATGTTCATATTACTGAGTTCAAATTAATAGGATTCTAAATTGTTCATGATCTTGGGATTTCTACTATTAGTGGATATAATTGTTTTATCTTCATGGGCTATCTTTTCGCCGTTCCATATAACAGCCATGGAACTGCCGAAAATTGTTTGGGTCACAATAGCTTTTCAATACTTATCTAAAGTTTAAGCAAATGGATTATAATGTTATTGTTCCCATAGTTGAGAGATGCCAGTCTGAGCATTCAATGGTTTTTCAAGCAACCTTATATGTTTCGAAAGGAGTCCTTATGGTTAACTTTAAGTTGTTTAATGAACATTATTATTTTAAATTTAGGTATTAGGATGTTTTCTAGCTTGGGAAACACGCCACGTTAATGTACCAGCTCTTAATGATAGTAAATATATAGGAATGAGTGTTTATGGAGTGGTTGTTACAAGTATTTTGGGTTTGAGCATTAGCGTAATACTTCAGGTAAACTTTGATCAAACTTTTTAATTTTCTGCAAATTTAGGAACGTGTGAATGAAGCGTTTGCTTTGACTTCTTTCTTAATAATGTTTTCAACAGCCGTTACGCTTTGTCTGGTGTTTGTGCCGAAGGTTTTCTTCTATGAATTGAAAGCTAAAACATGATCATATTCCCCCATTTATATAGATAACATTCACGATACTATTCTCGAACTAGTGCAAAAACAAAAAAAAAACGTGTTGTTAAATCGGAAGATTTTTAGTTTGTTCTACATGTTTTCATCTCATGTTTGTAGGCTGTGGAGCTAATACGGAACCCACAAGGCACAGAACCTAGAACTTACCGCCGAGGAATGATGAAATCGGTTGTAGCGAAACCTGCTCCATGCCAACCAGTTATAACCAATATCACAAAGTTTCATAACGAAAGATAGTATGCTTCAAGAGATCTTTTCAGAAATATTCGAGAAGTTGATAAAGACTTACTATCCAAAGTTGAAAGCGAGAATATCATTAGACGTAGATATTTGCATCAGGTTTGTTTAAGCTATGACGTCAGCAATTAGAAACTTGATACCTTACAGAAAAGTAGTCAGCTATGGGATTTATTGGCTCATTTGAGAGAACTTGGTGATACACATTTTCTTCAACAAGGTAAAAAATAAAACAATATAAAATTTAAAAGCCAAACACTATCGAACAATCTCTTTTGACTCTTTTCTCGCATTTGGTAAAGTGGGGAGTCATAATTGCAGTTACTTCGCTCACAGCAGCAGAACTCACTTCGGACAATACTGTCTTTATGAGACACGTTTGCTCGCTGCTTCAGAAACAGACTCTAATAATTTTTGTTCAAGTTACTGGTTAGACTTGAAGAGTTAATGTTTACCTGTACCATCGGCTTCAACTCTCCCAAACGCTTACATCCGTCGTTTATTCCTTTTTTGATACATTCACTCTTGAGAACGCAAAAACGGTCAACTATGTCCGTAAGCAATCCTGATTTGAAGAGAGTGAAAAACTCGAAGTAACATACCTAGAAGTGAAATCCAATAATGCCTTTAAAACCATAATTCGTGAAGACTCACCATGTTTGGACGATGACAGGTGACTTCATTAGTTGCTATAATATCGTTTGAATCATAGCAACTGAGCGCACAGCTTGAAGAAATTAATAATGTCATCATAAGCCATTTCATGTTCTCAAGAATATATGAAATTTACAGAATGGTGCTACATAAGTAATAATGTGAATACAGACACGGAAAATGATCGACTTTTGTGTCAACATAGGTAGCGCTAAGTTTAGAATTTCTTGTCATACTTGGTTCTATGAAACATAATTTTTTTTTCAGTGTTCAATGGGAAGCCGGGAAGTTGAATGGTAATTATTTTCTAGAAAATATTCAATAACTTTTATGACTATCTACAGCTGAACATTCTGAAGGATGGCCATGGGTAGATCCCGATGAGCCAAGTACTCTCTTATAAAAATATGAAAAATTCGATTCCTGGTTGATATTACTTATATTGATTTCAGAAACTCTCTAACTTATAATTTGTGCGAGCAATGACTTATATATTGAAATGAAACGTAAATAAATATGGAAATCGCATTATTTTCTAATTTTATTGAATGAGAAACAAGAGCTTCAGGCACAAAACTAACTTATTTGAAATTAGATCTAACGGCAGGTTTTGAGAGTGTCCCAAAATAACTCTTAATTTCCTGTGTTTGTGGTTGTTAAGTCAATGCAATTCATTATACCCCTGAATAAATCTTTGATTCATCCATAATCATTATTAAGCTCAATGACATCATTCGCAAGCTTTATCGAAGCGGCAAGTAAAACGATCCCACGACGTGCCATTTTTTTCCCAACCTTCATATCAAAATTACTAGATGAGATACGCGGGTCGAGCGAATTAAGTGAAAAGCTTGAAAAAGTTAATGTGTTAATGTTATGATACGTGTCAGTTATGTTTTCTTGAAGAAATTCTGGAGAAAGTTTTTCGTCAAGAATAAAGCCATGAGATGGGACACAACAATAGATAGCAAATATAGGAAATGTTGTAGCTGAAAGAAGGCTAATTCAAACCCATTAACTTTTTATTACGTGATAGTAGCAAGACTAGGTAGATAAAAGACAATAAGTAATAAACTCTTCTATTGATTTATTTTCGTATTCTAATTAATTTCAGCTATGTGAAGCATAATCGATACTTGCAGGAAATACTTCTCTCAAACTTTTCAGTTCAAATAATGAATATTCAAGCTGTTCTGAGTTCTTTCATCTTGGCGATAGGAGCTGTTATGATTTGTGTTACAACCAGAACGTAAATTTGGGACAAAACCAATTTTTTACTTCTCTTTCTTATAGAATAGATGACGATGGCGAACTGAAGGGGACATCTAACCAAGCTGTGAAAATTATCGGAATTGTTATGACTTGTGTTGGAGGCTGTGGTTATTTGTTCACAATTTATGAAGTGGTTTGTGACCCATTTTTACTTAGAACACCTTGATATAACGCAGATCAGACGCGGGCACAAAAAACTTGCTCAGGGTGAGCTGAGAAAGCTGGAACAGCAAGTAGGCTTTGAAACATTAACCAAAATATGTTTTTAACGACTTTCAGGTAGCGCAACGGAAAACTACACTGAAATAATCAATAAATATCATCTGTAAATTTGTTCAATTTTGAGAAACATTATGATCGTAGAAAACATTTCTGCTTGTTCGTGATTGTTTTGTGATTCAGTATCTTTCTGTCCTTGTAATCATTATTTCCTTTTCTTTCAGTTTGAATTCAAATTTTATTTCTAATGTTCCAGTACCTATTTCATTAGTTTAGAAAGTGCCGTCCACATTAAATATTTAACAAATCGAGTTGATTCATCTTTCATTTATTCCTTTCTATCACAGACTATGGGTTTACTTAAATATTTCTTAATCACGGCGGTAGCTGCAATCACTCTGTATTGTTTTTTTGCAGAACATCCTCGTTCAATGGAGCATATAGTACGTTAATAATAAGTTTAAGCGGTACACTTTCCTTTGCAGGGTAAAGAAAACAAATGGTATGGCCCCGGAAAGCCGAAAAACGATTCGGAAACTATTGAAAATTTTCGAATTAATTTCCCTGAAAAATTGCTTGAAGTTTTATCCATTCTTGTTAACACTTATTCTAAGATTTGAGGATTTACTGGCAAGACTAAAATCGTCACGTGTTTCGCATACTCCTTTAGAAGATGCAAATGATTTCAGTTATGGGTTTAATGCAGCATATTTGAATGAACTCAGAGTAATAGATTATAATTCATAAGTTTTGAAGTAGTATTTTTCAGGACTATTGGATAGAGGAATACGACTGGAGGAAAGAAGAAAAGTTCTTGAACACCTTCAATCATTTTAAAACAGAGATTGAAGGACTGATGGTTGGTAACTACTCTTCTTAGGATAATTCATTTCGTATAGATACATTTTATACGTGAAAAGGTTTCTATCGACCGTTTGCATCTTTATGATAAAGTTGTGCCTTTACTAATGGTACACGGATGGCCAGGAAATATTTATGAGTTCCATAAAATAATATCATTCTTGACAGACCCGAAAAAATATGGAATAAAATCAGAAGTAATTTATGCATAGTTTTTCCTTAACACTAGATTTTATTTTCTGAAGTTTGCTTTTGAAGTTGTTATACCTTCGATCCCTGGATATGGGTGGTCTGATTCACCACAGAAGAAAGGTTTCAAACTCGTGAGTTTCTTTTTATGCACAATTTTACAGGCTTTTCTCAAGTTGAATGTGCACGCGTGTTTTATAAACTAATGGATAAGCTTGGGTTCAAGAAGTTCTACCTACAAGGGGGAGATTGGGGATCCGTTGTTACAAGTAACCTCGCTAGGATGTATCCTGATAGGTAGGGTATATCATTCTTGCCGCTTTTCAGAATATTATAGCATATTTGGTTTGCATTTAAACATGGTATCTGTATTCCCCGGAACTACCGTTAAATCAACAATATTTGAAATTTGTGCCTCCCTTTGGCCTAAGCTAATGCTGTCTTCTACGAACCTTCACAATCATAATTTCATCTCCAAATTCCTTTCTTTGATAGCTGAGAGTGGTTATATGCATATCCAGGCAACAAAGCCAGATACTATCGGTAAAGTTCAAAATCAAAATCAATTGGGTTTGTTTAACTATCCTCAGGCACTGCTTTGAACGATTCTCCCATTGGTTTGGCTGCTTACATACTTGAGAAGTTTTCCACCTGGACAAATCAAGATTTTATGAGCATGTCCGATGGAGGACTGACCAAGTAATTTTTAGATTAGAGAATTATTTAGAAAAAATTCGTATAGAAAATTCAAAAAAGAGGAACTAATTACTATAATTATGATTTATTGGATCAATGGAAATATTGTGAACTCTCAGCGGTTTTATAAAGAATATTTTTCTGATGCTCGAAATGTAGAGCTTGCTAAGTAAGTTCTGTCTTATCACTATTTTTCATTTTTTCCTTCAGAGTTTTCTTGAACGTTCCTACAGGCCATTCTTCCGGATTGAACGAACTTTTTGACAGAACTCCTGTAGAACTCTCAAGAATGTTCATGAATATCACATTCTACAACGAAATTCCGGATATGGGTCATTTTGCATGTCTGGAGAAACCTAGAGAAATTGCAGAAGACATCTTCGCATTCGTTGAAACTATCCCTGTTTGAATGCTGTGAACTTTCATTATCAGTATATCAGCCGTTAACGGTGAAGAGAACGAAAAATTGTTTTCAACTTGACCAATAAAATAAAGATGAATATACCGATTATGACTTTTGATTGATGAGGTGGGAGAAGTTCCAGATTTGAGCTAATCCTGAAAACACCAAATACTCTCTGATTTTTCGGAATGTTTCGTTATTACTTCATATAACTGTATGATTGAGTAAACATGTTACGGAAAAAGATTTTTCATCATTAATTAATAAATGAGAATGTACAGGAAAAGTTTTGGTTCAACAAATTTGAAAAATTCAATTTGGAAAAATGAGCGAGGTATGAATCTGAACCAGTAATTAATCAACACAGAAGCAACAAAGTTAAAACAATCAGGCATGATACTTTTATTGAACTCACCTTGTAAGCAATAGTGATAGCTACACTTCCCAGATATGTCCCTTGAAACTTATTCAGACGTAGAGCCGCAGAATTTTGTCCTTGGACAAATACTTCTTTCTCTGCCCAAGACACAGGTAAGAACAGGGTCATCCAGTTAAAATTAGTTTATGGATAAAGACTGCCAGAACCACCTGTTCGTTTTAAAAAATGGATAAGGGGTTACTGTAAGTTTCTAATATCAAAACGCCTCTGTTCTGAGAGTTTTTTTTTATCAGACCCACACATAAGATAAAGATGAACATCTGTTAATTCTGGTGATCGTGTGGAACAAAAAGTTCCAACAGAATTGGTAGGCGTCGGAGCTGCAGAGAGCAAGAACTCAGAACTAGTTTATACTCCCCCTTCCGCAGTTGAACATAAATTTGGAGATACTGGAGAAGGTAATTTGCAAGACATTATTGTTTGATTAACATCAAATATAATTACGTATGAATATTAGGAACTTTCATCGATTTATAATTTTAAAAACTATTCTACAATAATATTGAGTATCTACTAATGCGTCAACACAAAAAGTGCGTCATAACGCCACACCCGATCGGGTACATCTCGGGTATCGAGTAGTAATTTAACCTCAACTGAGTTGAGGTTAAATTTATTTATTCTTTAACGATGGCTGAAGATGAGAATGTGGATGCTTTTTCTATGACTAAAGAGGTGAAATTCAGCTTTAATACCTATACATTATCCTGTTATAGTTAGCCGAACGATTAGGTGTGACTGATCCGTCTTCTGTAAAGAATGATGAAAAGACCGGTCATGCAGCATCGAGCTGCATACCTTCCTCATCAAACGTAAACTAAAAGATTTAGAGCATTGAAATAAAATATTTAGGATGCAACCTTTCCTCATAATCACCCTCGAACCGTTTCGAATCCCAGTATGGTTTTGCATAGCCCGTCATTTTCTCCTTTCTTACATTTATTGTATGAAGATGATTTTGATGTAGCACCAGAAGTTCAGTTAGAGTTTTATGAAGCCTTGCTTGAAACGGGATATAAGGTAGAAACTTTGTTTTCTTTGTACCAACTTTCAAATTACAGCTAAGTGCTCTTGCGAGTCTCGATAGGATTGAATGCGCTTATGAAGCACTCCTATATATGAACGCGCAATTACCAAGTGATCCTTTAGAAAAAGCTGCAATTTCTAAGGATCCTAAGGATTCTTATACTGCAGCTGAAGCTTTGACGATATTTTCGGGCGCAGCCATGCGGTAGGCTTACCAAAAGTTGCTCTAGAATTCTTATTATTAAGGTACTCTTCTACGCGTAGTGTTGACACATTAATAGCAGCCCTGCAAGATGTTGGAAGCATAATTGATGGAGAAGATGATATAATTGTGATTGAGCCTGAAAAGGAATCTATAAGTCGTTTTGCAAGTCCTGATGGCTTGTACGCTCTAGCGTGCGCGGCTGGAGTGAGATTTATACCTAGTGTCTATGAGATCTGCCATATTTTTAGTTTGTGAAGCTTACTACGATTCTACTGAAGATACGCGGACCCACGTTTCGGAAACACTGTGACTCAACACCTCTGATAGAAGCTTGTGCATCTGGATCGTTCCGTACTGTCCAGAAATTTGTTGAAGCAGGAATTGATTTGAATGTTCTATCCAGAGCGAAAAACACAGCTCTAATTTATACAGCAGCTACAGGGCATGCCAAGGTATCATACACAAGAAGAGAGAAAACAGATACATGTATTGCAGTGCGCTAGGCTTTTGTTGGAATCCGGGAGATGTGACATGTCTCTTTTAAGTGGAGCGGGACATTGTCCACTTATGGAAGCAGCTAGTTCAGGTACCAATTTATGTTCAAAGTTATTCATTGTAATTTTAGGAAGTTGGCGTGTGATGCAACTTTTAATTGATCATGGAGCTAAACAACGCTTTTTCACATTAAACAGTGATATCAAAGTGAGCTTTTCATTATTTGTTTCGTTACATTTAACTTTCAGGAAGGACCATTAACACTAGCCGCTTATAAGGGACATGAGTCTGCTGTGAAATATCTCTTGGGTTTAGGATTAAATACTGAAGAGGAGTTACGGGTTGCGATCACGGAAGCAAGCATGGACGGGCATGCCGCGGTTGGTGGGAAGGAAATAAAGAATTCATGCTAATATTTACAGGTCGCTAGAGCTCTTCTAGAACATGGTAGTCCAGTGAATATAACTTCAGATTCGTATGAAAGTCCTCTCACCTTAGCATGCAGCGGAGGTCATGATGATCTGGTTCCTATTTTGCTAACCCTTTCTCCTAATGCATACATATATTTTATAGGTGAAGCTACTTTTACAAGCTGGTGCTTATATCGAAGAACCAAACGACGAAAGCTACACTCCTTTGATGGAAGCTGCACGAGAGGGACATTTGGTAATACATGATATAGAAGATCTTTCTTTATTTAATTTCTTTGTCTTAGGCTGTTGTTCAAGTACTTATTGATCATGGAGCTTGTATTAATGCTCAAACAGAAGAAACGGGTGAAACTGCTCTAACAGTTGCAGCTTGTGGAGGATACACGTACAAGAAAATCTGCAATTGAAATGAGTTTGTTTTTCAGTGATGTCCTCGATCTTCTTGTGAGAACCGGTGGAGATTTAGAACTGGGAGCTAACACACCCTTAATGGAAGCAGCTCAAGAAGGTCATGTTGGAACTGTTTTGTATATACTCTCCGCGGCACGCTTGGTATGTACGAAAATAAGCTCATTATAATTTATATTCAGGATGAAGTGTTGTGTCCCAATATCCAACAACACTTGAATGCCGCATTGTCGATGGCAGCGGACAGCGGCCATTTAGAGGTGGTTGAAGTTCTTTTCTCGGAAGGCGCTCATATAGTAAGTCATAGTTTATGTTAACAGGATTGTAATACAACTTGAAGAACATGGAATATGAGGGTCGCACACCACTTATGAAAGCAGCAAAGAACGGTAATACCGATATCGTTTCTTTTTTCATCGGTAAAGGAGTTGACATAAATTTAAAAGCACAACCAGGGAATGACGCTACAGCATTATCACTTGCTTGCACAACGGGATATAAGGAAGTTGTCAGGCTCTTGCTTGAAGCTGGAGCAGATCCTAATATTGAATTAAAGGTGAAACTTCGGAAGGTAACTGAAAATCTCCATTTCTAGGATGGTGTCACATGTATTTTGGAAGCTGCAAAAAATGGTTTCGTTGAAATAGTAGAACTACTCCTAGATTACGGAATAGCTTTCTCAACTTCGACTGTATCAGCCAGCGCGAAGCCTATTGACGCGGTTTCCCTCCCAGACTCTTCTCTGAATGATCTTAGTTCGGGCTCCTGTCCAACACCAAATCGTAGAAAACAGTCCTTCAGCTCGCACTTACCCAACTATCTACCGCCAGGTACGTAAATATTACCAGTTTTCCATCTATTTTTTTCATCGTTTCTAATCTAGGCATGCTTCCGGAAAACCCAGTAAGTAGTAGATTTCCTCAAGTTATATAGCTGTTAGCTCCAGCAAAATGATCCTGCGTTTACTGATGCCGAGTGGGCGAAAGTTTATTATGGATGGCTCGCAGCTTTATACAATCTACGTCATTCTGGTCATTCTACGGTAAGAGAATGATATAGTACTAAAGAAATATAAATATTGTTAGAATGATCGTATTCCCCTCGGTTACGATTATGGGATGGTACAACCGAACTTAGATGTCCATACTCAGCTGACCATTGAACAAGTTCAAGCTTTAGCCAATTACGTTGCTACATGTAAGTTCTAGTAGTTTTCAGTGTTCACTTAAATATTACAGTGCCAGTTCCAATAGGGCCTTCTCTGGAGAAATCTCTGCATTCTCCCTTTTCACCAAACAATGATCTCCTCGATTTGGACCATGTTGAGAACTCATCTTTCATATCTAGAGTGATGAACAAATTGACCAGGGATAAGAAAAGTTCTAATATCTCTTTTTCCACTTCCACAACCTCAACCAAACCTGCGCCCCTAAATGCAACGAATTTGAATGTTATTGGAATGAATGATTCTCCAAACAATCAAGGATCGTTTACGTCATCACATGAAGTCCAAGTTGAATTAGACAAGTCAACAAGCTCTTCCGTTAATTCGTCGTTTCCTGTCAGCAAAAGTCAGACTGTAGCTAGCTGCTCGGAAGTATTATGTATTCCTCAACCTGCCAGTATAAAAACAGTATCGATCGAATCTAAAGACTACTGCGAGCCTGTTCGAAACTCTTCTTTTGATTATTTTGACACGTTAAATGAGTTAGGAGGGAAAAGAGAAGTCAGTCCTGCTCAAGCCATTGCCGTTGATGTTGATGAGGTTAATATTTTTAGTCAGGGTGGATATACAAAATGTTACAGTCTCTGGGAGAAATCAACGAGCCAATACTAACTGGAGTTAATAACGGAAGTGATGATTATGGCAAGCTAGATATTGTTTCGTCCACACTAACTCCTTCCTCCGCTGATTCTCTATTGAATACCTGGACCGAGGCGAAATGTTTATAATTATGTGAAAGATTTTTTTAAAACCTATATTTTAGGGGGCTCTGCTCTTCATCAGTTTACCAGTCCCATACCACCAGATCAGAGGAGGTTAATCAGAAAACGTTTCCAAGAGTACTTAGCTTTAGATAGTCACAGTGAGTTCTTTGTTCGGGTTGTTTAATTAAAGGCAGAACATACCTTTCAGATACCAACTCACTCAAGCATTTCGTAGACATATATCATGAGTGGTGTAAATCAGTTTCTGTTAAGGAGGTATGTTCATTTTTCTTTTTTGTCAGCATCAATTACAGTGCGATAAAACTAACGATGCTTTATCAATTTGTGAAATTATGAAGCTTATCCGTCCTTCCGCTCAAGATTCGTCCGCAGATGTAGAGAGTATAGGCCCAAGTACTGATACTAGTTCAAAAATTTCTCTTAATGGGTCATCTGTTACACCTGGAACCGGCATACACCGAAGAACTTTGAGTGAGGGCGATGATATTGAGTACCGAAGGTTCGTATTGAACAGTATTTTAAAAATCAGAAGTTTTATTCAGACCTATTAAAACTATCTTCAATGTTGATAAAACCACAGAGTCTAACAACGATACACCATTAACATTAGCTTGTTCCAATGGACATAAAGATATGGTTAACATCTTAGTTGCACGAGGGGCGAATATTGAACATAGGGATAAAAAAGTTTTAGTTTGACATGTTTTCTGTTGTCAACGATTTATCTTATAGGGGTTCACTCCCCTCATCTTGGCCGCCACAGGTGGACACGTTGGCGTCGTTCATGCTCTTCTCACAGCCGGTGCCAACATTGAGGCTCAATCTGAAAGAACTAAAGACACTGCTCTCTCTCTGGCTTGTTCTGGTGGTCGAAAAGAAGTAGTTGAAGTATTGCTAGCACATGGAGCTAATAAGGTTTGTTTCAATTCTTCGAATGTAGATTACCAAGTAATCCAGGAACATAGAAATGTGAGTGATTATACGCCATTATCACTAGCAGCTTCTGGAGGCTATGTGGATATAGTGAACATGTTGTTAAATGCTGGGGCTGAGATTAATTCGAGGACAGGCAGTAAGCTAGGAATATCCCCCCTAATGTTAGCTGCAATGAATGGCCACAAGGAAGCTACAAGAGTTCTACTTGAAAAAGGTTCAGATATTAACGCTCAGATTGAAACAAACAGGTAAAACTCTCATAATTTATTTCCAAGTTATCAATCTTTTAAGAAATACTGCTCTAACCCTGGCTTGCTTCCAAGGTCGCACAGACGTTGTTAGACTCCTTCTGCAGCATAACGCAAATGTAGAACACAGAGCAAAGGTATGAGGTGGATTTAATTATTACTTTCAAATTTTTTTAAAGACTGGTCTGACACCATTAATGGAAGCTGCGAACGGAGGTTACGTTGAAGTTGGCGTGCTTTTATTGGAACATAACGCTGATCCTAACACTACACCAGTTCCTTCAAGTAGAGACACTGCTCTCACAATAGCTGCAGATAAAGGGCATGATAAATTTGTGGAGATGTTGATAACCAAAGGTTCTGCTATCGATGCGAAAAACAAGAAAGGTTGTACTGCCTTGTGGTTGGCTTGTCACGGCGGCCATCTGGACACTGTGAAGATTCTTGTTGCGTTTGGAGCTCATGTTGATACCCAAGACAATAGACGTGTATCTGCCCTTTTAATATCATTTCGTAAAGGCCATTTGAAGGTATTGTACTTCATCATTGCTAATCATTTTTTTGTGTGAAGGTTGTGGATTACATGGTCAAATACGTGAAACAGTTTCCTAACCATCAGGAAATGTTTAGATATCTAACCACCCTGACTGCTGGTGACCAGGTTAGTGTTTGTGTGTTTAATGTTTTTCATTTTCATATTAATCAGAAGGTAACTAAGGATCTCCAAGATCTTCTTTGTAACGTCCAAAAATGTATAACAGTGATCGTTGCCGCAACAAAGGCTCAAGCTGAACAAGCTAATCGAGCCGCAGAAAGTTTGTTAGCTTTGTTAGCGGAAGAAGTGAGTTTTTAGTTCAAAATTGTTTGAAAGAATGAAAAACGTTTGCAGGAAGAAATGGCCAAAAACAAAAAACAGAAAAAGCAAAAAAAGAAAGAGGAAAAACGAGCAAAAAAGAAAAAGAATGAAGACAAAGACATTAAGATAAAAGTGCTTAAAGATGACGTTTCTCAGAAGAATCAGATTTCCAAAGAGTATAGCGAGGTAAATACTTTCGTTACTCATTCATGTTACGTTTACATTCCTATAGCCGGAGAGTGAAGATGAGAGTAATAAAGTCTTGGAATCTGAAAGCATAGACTCTAATTCATTCCATCAATCAGAGCTTGCTAAAGAATCATTGATTCAGTCCCACGAACAGGTTTTTTTTCACTCGTGGGAGCTTTTTCATTAAATGATTTAATTAACAGGAAAGCGATGTGAATACCTCCGATATCAACCCTCATGAGGAAAGTACAGCATCAAGTTTAGAAGCAGTGCTTAACAACAAAACAAAGCGCCAGCATGGTCGGAAAGTTAAAGTTCTAGAAACGAAAAGTTTTGGCACCTTTTCCTGTAATTGAATCAGAAAGATCTTCAGATCCATTACTGAATGAAGCTATCATCCCAATTAAACCCAATCTGCCAGTACCAGCTGCGATACTTCTGACGAACGTGAAGACTTCGCCTTCAACAGATGAATGGGTGAAGGCTAGTAAAAAAAAGCAGGTAATATAAATATAATATATTTCGCAATACATAATCTCTTTCCATTATTGTATCAGTCCAAGCTGAAAACATCCTCTGTCCTAACTCCCGCTCCTCCTGTTCTACCTGCAACCTTATGTGCTAAGGAATACCACCTCGACGATGCTTTCGTCTGGAAAGATGCAGATGCGGTAAGCAATTTCATTTTTTGAAAAAGATGCAAATACTATTCGATATGTAGGCTCGACGCAGTAAGTCGAATACTCTCTGTGTTGGCAGTAGTGTTATAGCCCGTGTAATTGGGCGAGGTGGGTTTAATATCAATGCTATTCGAGAAGCCACTGGTGCCTCTATCGAGGTTGAAAAACAAGGAATAAAGAAAGAGCAGCACGATCGGCATATTTTCATTAAAGGGACTCAAGATATTGTGAGGTACGAAACAAAATTTGTGCAAATTGATTTTTTGAAAAACGTTTATTTGAAGAAATGCTACTCAAATGATCAATGGGTTAATCGCCGATAATGATGCATCTGTAACAGATATTATTAGACAGGTGTTGAAATAGTTTTTGAATTGAATAACTTGTTGAAGGTTCTACGTGGGAACTCATCAGTGGCATCTTCCTCATCGGAAAGTGGGAGCAAAGTAGATGCGAAACAGCCTTTTGCGTCGGCTGGAACTACTAGGAGCTCGCAGGCAAGGACTACAACAAACATCTGGCAACAAAGGATGGCCGCTCGACAGCAACAAGAAACGAATCAAGAACCTGCGTTGTCTCCTCCAAATGTTAAGAAGGACATAAACCTCATATCTTCATCCTCAATAAACAAAAGTCGTCAAGAAGGTTTGCGAATTCCTATTTTATTGCTCATTCTACTACTTTTTTAGCGGATTTCATTTTGAAACTTGAAGCAGTAGGGATTCGCACTAAAGTTGAAAATCCTGATATAACAAGTGCATCGTCCCCAACGAATGTATCTTCAAAGAACTCAGAAGGTTCTATATCAAAATGCATTGTGCGCCCGCTTTCTCCCAAAGAGGAAGATTTGATGAAAGCTCCTGGATATCGACCTCATATCATTTCAGGTTTTCCTATATTTTTATATTAATCATCACTCGTTTTCAGAAAAAGCTATGAACAATAAAGTCGAGTCCAGTAAAACCCCAATAATGCCAACTTTCTTAGAGAAAGAAGATGCTGCTAAAACAACTTTGAATTTGGACGCAGCGTCTTTCTTAGACGAAACCACGAGTGCGAAGCTGGCACAGATTTGGGGAGCTGGGTCCACTCCGAGTAATAGCGAACCAGCTTGGGATAGTCAAATTCTTCTCAATAACCTGAGTCTGAATCTTGATAATTCGGTTGGTATAGTCTTCTTTCGTTTATGAAAATAACAAATCTTCAGCGATCCGACTGGCAAGTTTCCAACGAGCAGGATTTTCTGGGAATGAACTTTCAGCCTTCTTCTGCCAAGAAGCAATCTGTTAATTCTGCTGCCCCGCCTTCTTCAAACACCGAATGGGCGGCTCCTGGGAACAAAACAAACCTTCCTAGTAGATCTCAAGTGAATCAAAACTTTTATTTCTAGTTAAATATTTTATTCTTAGTGCCGATCAGCTGTTTTACAAAACTCCCCCCAGGCGCCTCCGAGTTTGTCGACGCAAGCTGCTCGCTCATTTTCTGGAAATCAGCAAAATGAGAATAGCGTGTTATTTAACCAGGTATTTCAAAATACTAATTGCTCAATGCAGTTTATTTGAGCTTGCTGTACAGCTTCTCACTCACCAAGGATCTTCATCCACCAGCACAAGTCCATATTTTTCTTACACGGATTCTACAGCGTCTTTGAAATCGGTTTCTTCAATTCCTACTCAAGCACCAAAAACTTTCAATTCTTACCAGGTTTCGTTTTGAGTAAATGTGGTGTAATTTTTTTTTTAGAATGCTTCTCAAGAGTATGAAAACTTGCACAATTTACTTAATTCATCTTATCCTTCTCATGGCCTTTCTAATCGGAGCTGTTCCGATTTCAATTCCCAAGTTTCCACTTTTTTCAATTTATATGAACAGCTAACTGAATTATAGCAAACCTATGGAGCTTCTACAATTGCACGAACCATTATGCCTAGTAGAACAACGGTACCTTTTATTCCACCGCCGCCACCTCCAGGATTCGGAGCAGTAGTCCCTCCACCTTCTGGTAATATTGGTACTAATACTTCTGTTCCACCTCCTCCAATACGAAACTCGTTTTTCAACAACCAAGTTCCTCCACCTTCACATACTTCAGCATTCATGTATAATAGGTATTATTTTTCTGCTGTTTAATGAAGAAAAGATGATATACTTTCAGTCAACAGGCTAGTGGGAATTGGAATCAGTCTATGCCACCTACGAACGTTCCACCCCAACAAATGCATTGGAATGGTTGGAAATAGAGCATAGCTTATTTAATTGGAAATTAATTTATTTCTATTGACATGTATGATTTTGGTGTATCATTTTCGGGTATAGATTTAGTTTCAAAGTGTTCAGGGTTTTTTGTTTGATGTCTCTGTGATTCAGTGTCCTTTTTTCCGATGAGTAATGTATTCTTTCAGTTGTTAATCCTGTGTTAAGAGGTTTCTTAAATTTATCCAAGTATTCATATTTCTCAACACTTTAAGCATATTGTTTCAATTTGTTATCTCTTGTAATAGGCTTTTAATACACTGTGGTCTATGCAATAATATTTTATCGCCTGAATGTGTGTTTCTCCATAAATGCTCTCTGTTCTCTCTGATCTTATTATTTAAAAATAATTCCTACTGTTTATGTTCTCTGACAGCTTGGAGAACAATGTTATGACTCTGTGCTTCATCCATATGTTCACTTGTGTTTATGAATTATACAAAGTTTAGTAAATCTCGTTTTATTAAGTCAATCACTCGCTCAATGGTTAAACCATTAAATACATAGTTGGTTGAAGCGTTTTTTAGTAGTTTTTCAGCTTTGTTGATTTTCATATCGAGACATGTTGAGAAAAGCTGCAGTTGTTTTTCGGTCCGGTCAGACGCTATTCATTTCGTTTATTTTATTATTCATTTCAGTTCGAAAGATGTATATTCAAGTACAAGATACTCCTAATCCATTGTCGCTGAAGTTCCTACCAGGGCAGAACATTTTGAAGAGTAGTGGAAGTTATGAGTTTAACAGTATTGTGTCTGCAAAGAATAGTCCTCTCGCTTTGTATGTGTCCTCTAATTTTTCCAACTTTGCAATCTGCAGACTTCCAGGGAATTGTTCCGGATTGAAGGTGTTAAATCTATTTTTTTTGGAGAGGATTTCATCACAATCACGAAAAAAAGCGAAGATGTTGATTGGGCTGTCATGAGAGCCGACATTTTTTCAACTATTGCAAACTATTTGCAATCAGGAAAAGAGTTGATCAAGAGTAACGGAGAAATTAGATATGAAGACACAGGTACTGTGATAACATCAAACTTCTACATATTTTGTCTACTTCTTAGCTATTTTGGAAGACGATGATGATACAGTCGCCATGATAAAAGAGTTACTTGATTCTCGAGTTAGACCTATGGTACAAGAGGATGGAGGAGATATCACATACTGTGGCTTTACTGATGGTGTGGTAAAGTTGAAGCTGAAGGTTTTCCTTTCAATTTCTTATTTTCTAAAGTTTTCTTGAAGGGTTCTTGTACTGGGTGTCCCAGTTCTTCTGTTACATTAAAGTCTGGAATTCAGAACATGTTGCAGTTTTATGTACCAGAAGTTAAGGATGTAATTGAAGTGAAAACAGAATCTGATGATCTTGTTGAGAAAGAGCTGGCGAAATTCGAGGCTTCTCGTGGAATAAAGGATTAACCAAACTTTAAGTGCGATTTGGATATTCTTATTTAGATATGTAGAGAATATTGTTTAATATTAAGGTATACTACTATTACAGTACGAGAGGAAGTTTATAAATCTTCTGGAACACATTTCATATAACACTTATTCCACCCATGATTTTCTTCAAAAGTGCAACTGGAAATAAACAAAATTTCGAAAAGTTCTCATCTCTGTCTCTAACTAGCTTGTTGCTTGTGTATCGTTAATATCCGCCGGACAGCGATACGTTTTTGGGCAAGCACATTTATGAGAAATCGCTACTAATTCCATTCTGATATCAATGGTTATCTGTCAAAACAATTCCCTAAGATGTTCTGAATGAAATATTACTTGTTGACAGTAGTGAACTTCATCGAATATATTGCATGTTGGAGAGTGGCTTTTGAAGCTCTTATTCAAATTAATTGAATTGTTAGTTATAGCCTGAAACAAATCGGATAAGCTTAGTTTGATGTTTAATCAAACCTGTGCAGTGGACAAAACGGTTAATAGAGTTAAACTCAATGATTGGAACATCATCTCTTTCGTCTGAACAGTTCTTGAGTCACACTTGAAATTGAATAAAGTTATCTCATCGAAATGAAAATAGAAACTCTTGTGAACACGATTTGGTACTGGTGTGGCCGATAAATGAGAGAAGAACTGGTTATATCTATTTTTCTTCTAGAAACTGCTTTTTAACTAATGATTTTTTGATGAATCCAACAAATCGAAAAAAAAGAGACTGTTTCATACAAACGATTTCTATTGCTGTGTACAATTAACTTAAAGGGTCTTATGCGTTATTTCCCCCCGGCTTCGCCCCTTTTGCCGTTTGTGCATGGTCTTGGTTTTAGTACGTAAAAAGCTTAGGCTAGATATTCATTAGGCTTGGGCTAGATTTTCAAAAAGCTTAGGCTGAATTTTCAAAAGGCTCAGGCTAGTAAAGCTGGGTTGTAGGAGTTATTGTTCATAAAATAAGGCTCAGGCTTGTTTATGATATATTTAGATTTGTTGATAAAGCTTACGCTAATAAGGCTAAACTTATACTTCTTTGAAAAGACTTAGGCTAGAATATAAGACTCGTTTGTTCAAGAAATTCTTTTTTTTTTCAACTCTCGAAAAACTCAGATCAGACCAAGAGCGTGCGCAAAACCGCAAAAAGGGGCGTGGCCAGCACGGGGGGGAATAACGCATAAAAACCAACTTAAATTTTAAAAACATCTTCATTGAATATTACAAAAAAGTCCAAGTTATTAAATTTGGGCAGACGATTAACAGTTAAATGTTTGGATAAGGACTCACAGTGTTACCAGAACTATCATATTTAAAGAGACAACTACAGAGATCAATGAGAGATCGTTTATCGGAGCAATGAGCAGGACCTTCGTAATGTTCCACTGCGGGCTCAAACGCAACTCGGAAGTCATCAGTATGGAGATAGTTGTCTATTCGAAACAACAATTCAGTTTTGTATCTATTCTCGATTAGCCCAGTTATATGCACGTGATGGTTCAGAAACTGGAAAGAACGCAATTATCAATCTTTCCATTAAACCTACGTCATATTTGTCTGGCATGCTCATGATCTCAGCGTTTCTTGTTAGATTCGCTTTATTCCGTAAGCCATGTCTAGCAAACTTATTGATAGCAAGAGTATCATATTCATTATGTATCTTAAGTTTCCCTGGATCCATGCAATTTGTGAGTTTTTTCTCTAGTATCCATTGCTTTGCGCTGGCTAGCGCATTCTGAATTTTGATTCTATTTACAGTTAAACGAATTGTGAAAGCTATACCGCTCGTATATGAACAGCAGGTTTCATTCTTAACTTGTTAACTGGATTTGTAACATTTTTGACATTTTGTTGACATGTACAAAAGTTCTCAGGAATACTAGCTTCAAAGCATGTGCTGCAACGACATTCATCCACAAGGTGAGAAAAGTTAACTGACCGATTTGCTGATATTTTATCAAAGAGTGAAATTCCACGTCCATTCCTAGTTCTGCCGATTTCAAAATTCATTTCAACTATATCAGTGAGAGTTTGATGTATATCGAAATTGCTATAAATAGAAGGGAAAGATTCATATGTCAACGTTAAGCTTTAACCTTGTTAACTTGTACTTGTTTGCAAGAAAATTTGCATATTGTTCTGGAAAACGTCTACGGAACGAACTCGGCAAACGTATGGCCATCAGAGGCATCCGCTCTTCTATACGCCCCGTGTAAGAGTACTGTACTAAACCGATACGATTGCCATGGTCCCCCAAAATGAGGGATAATGTGTTGTCCAAAGCACCTTCAACAAATCATAAGTAATGAAAAACTCGAACAAACTGATTCGAGATCTATTTTCAGGTTAAGTTAGCTAGGGTCAAAATTCCAGTGTAGTGCCTAGACGTGAATCATGAGTAGATCAAACCGAACCTGTATCGTGTAAGCGTTCTAATCTAGCAGAAATGTGCTCGTCGAGAAGTTCCAACAACATTCCGTCTTCATGTGTGAGTCTTAAAATTACAAAAAGTTGAGATCAATACGGAAAACATACGTTGTAATAAAAGTAAATGCAAAATGACAAATATCTTTGTGCTGGTGAGCGAATCGTTGCCATAAATCTACAAACTCTTTTTGAACTTGTTCACCATTGCGGCAAGGACCATAGCGCCAGTTCTGGAACAAACACTATAAACTTATCAAATAATAAGAAATACCTCATAAACAGCAAGATAATAAGCTCGGAAATAGTGGTCAGCTGGTGCTCTGATGAACCCGGGTAGGAACTCTTCTCTAGGATAAGTGAAGAGGCCAAAAAAATTTGTAGAAATATCTTCATTGAACATGGTCTTACAGCCATACTCTTCAATATCATACAATTGGAATAAAATTGATTCGAGAATGCTCACTCTCTTTCATATGTTGCCATAAAAACCGCAAGTTAGTTGGATCTAATTTTTTTTTGGTTGGCAAAATCCATTCTGCGTTTATATCTCCACTGGCATCCAATTTATTCTCCGCTAATGCTTCTGGGACATCTCCAACAAAGATTGGTGCCAAGTTAACCATCGAATTATCTCCAACCTATCGAACGGAGAGTATATGAAAAATACTGTGAGACATTCTTGCCTTAGTGTAACCGTAAAGAACATGATATCCTATTCTTTTCATAGTTTCTACTGTACGTGGTAGTTGACGGTAAAACATTGAACGCGAAGTTGAGTCAAAACCTAATCCATCAACAGAGTACCGAAGTGGTTGAACAGTTTTTTTTTTGTATAATGAGACGCGTGATTCTACTGCGTAATTATCATAAGAGTATAGATCGGAGACTTCTCGTATCTGCAAAAGGTTTAGGCTTAAACAGCAAAGATGAGTCCACAAACTGTATTTTTCTGGAACTCATCGCTATATATTCCAGGGAAGGGTTTTCTCCACACCATTTCATTAGATGTCTTGTTCCGACATCTAACAACAAAAGCATTTGCGTTAACCAGGATACGCTTATTAGGAGCAGCCTGTAATAAACAATCAGATAATATTTCATGACTGTCGGAAGCGAATGACATTGAAAGATTTAACCACTCGATAGTCATTTTTTCCTTTATTCGTGATTGGATCCCGTAAGCCTCCCTCAATAATGTCGATCTAAAACATCGGAATGAAGCTCACTTAACACCTTTCAATCAAACATAGCATTCATTATCTTCAGTTTTGTTGGGGTAGTTTGCCAAATGTGGATGTATGTACAAATACCCTTCAATATCCTGTGAAGCCAATGGCTTATCTGCTGTACATTTCATCGTTCTCAAACGCTCAGAATAACGCCAAACCTGATAAAATAGCAAAACTAATCCTAGAATAAAACTAACAAACTTTTATATCTTCTGCGTAAATGTTCACTATGGGAAATTGGCAAGCATTGTCAAAAGGATGAAACAGCAAGGAATTTTCATCAAGAAGTTCCTTTTTCATTAAAGTTTCAACTTTGTTTTGTTCTTCTTCTTTGCCTTTGTTGCTTGCAGGCGTATCTTTCAATTGCGAATTATTATGTTTTCTGAAATGTTCATCTTTCTCTCGGTGAACAGAATAGTTTTTGAGCGTGTAATAATCACTATAATTGCTTAATATTCCGAAAACCGATAATACAAAAGCAACCAACTGAAAATAAAGCAATAATAGGGAACAGAAGAAAAGTCTCACAATTAATGATTTTACTGGAGAGATCCGAAGTACCATTGTAAGTTAGTGCTCTTATTCACTCAAAACATAACCTTTCAATCTGAAATGCTGGACCAGTACGCACATTAAAACATTGAAATATTAATGTAAAAGCAACACAATAATTAGCGACTATCTTTATATAGATTTAGAAAAGGAAGTGTATCCACGAATTAATTAAGATCTCTTTCTTTTCCCTATGGTCTTAATTTTTCATAATCTGATAAAACTTGTAAATTTTCAGTTAACTCGATACAATGATTTAAAAATTAATATTTCGAGATTTGGACAATTAAATATCTAAAGCAAACAGAAAACTCTCGAATCGAAGTGATGCAATCAGTGACCGGAAAACGAAAGTTTGTCGGGATATCGTAATTAGAAGTTGCAGTTTGTAGGATACGAACTTCAAATATAGAATAGGAACAGGATTAAGAAACAGTAAGAAACAATGAACTTATTGGGCAAGATATATGAATTCGTTTTACAATGAAAGAATCTTCATATAAGAATCTAAGCATTACATCCCAGACTGAAGCAAACACAAGCACGTTGTGCTTGTGTTTGCCGGATGTTGCCTCATTAGGATGACATGAAAACTACTAAAATCCTAGAGCTTAACAACATTGAGACCTTGAATAAACCTTAGTTTTTGATACTGTTTCATTTAAGAGACGATCGTATGGAATCGCAGAGAGAATCCCTTGACCGCCGCAATCCGTAATAATATTTCTCTTGACCTCGAAAAGATGAAAACTAAGAACAAGGAATGAGTGCACCACCTTGTCTAAATTCTCAGATTGTCCTTCTAGTTTTATTGTACAATTAAAAGATTGATTGTTCTTAAAATTTACTATTAAAAAAAAATAGACAAATTAGGTACAGTTTTTAACAAGATACTAAACTATGAATGGAAAGACATTTTGCTGAATATGGCGAAAATAGTGGTAATGTTGATTCAAACCACCTGTGACTCAGTTGGTCATTTTGATTCAAGATGAGAGTTCTCATTCACATATAATTAGAACACTTGCCCATCAAATTCATCCTGTATCTCCTAATGCAGCTTCTACTTTGTGTTGCCATTCGTCTGTACATATGCTACATTCCTGCACAATACCCACTGCAGCAGGCTCGACATGTCCACATTGACCCCACACGCGCAAACGAACCGAACCCGTTTGCAAAGATGTGTTAGGTATCTTAAAACATTTATTTCCGCCGTTGAGACGGTTACTATACCTCTACGCTGTTTATAATATTCATTTCTGGAATCCAATTCTCTAAAATTGATAACTTTTCGTTAGATGACAAATCTCGTTGACATTCTCCAGTTGCCCAAACCTGCAACGATTTAAGAAATATTGGATCCATTATAATTTCTAACATTGGGCCACAAGTTACGTAGCTGAGAGCTATTCCTTTGCGTGTTAGATAAAGGGAGTATCTCAAACGCTTTCTGAAGCAATAAGTTCGTTTGAGCTTCCTCATGATTTGCTAAAATCTCCCAGGCTAGAGAAGTTATGGCCAGCACCGATTCTGTCTAAAGAATGAATAAAGTTATTAGAGCTTTCAAAAATTTTGAAACTTCTCCATAAGCATGTGTAGCCCTTCCTATCTGATCTATGGCATAGTCAAGATTACCAGCCAACAGATGACAGAAGGCCACTGGAAGAGAGCACAAAAGGTATTGCGGACTTATCGACTGTTCGAGATGTCGAGATATAAACTGAAAATAGAGTTTGAGGAATAATGATGAACACTACAAACTTTCAAAAGAGAATACTCTGCTTTCTCGAGCTGCTCAAAAAACTCCTTCTGATTAAAAACAGATGAATTATTATGTTCGGATAATTTCACATAAATGTCAGCAATTAAAGAAGGCTTTTGCACAAACGAAGAATCGTCAGGTAGTTGTACACACCGCTTAGTGCCGTCCTAAAAGCATACGAAAAATGGAGAGCTAACTAAAGCAACTCTAACTTTAGGTTGGTAAAAATATTTTCTTGGAGCCGAACAAATTTGATTACTAGGAAATCCACATTGGGTCATATCGTTCCTACCCCATCCGTAACATCGACCATCCTCAGTCACAGCAATCGTATGATTACCGCCTGAAAGTCAAACTAAATTGATGAAAGCAAAAATGTTACTAACCACATTCAACGTGCTTCCACTTTATAATGACAGGTTCGAAAACTTGGTGAGGTTCACTTCTTTCAGTTTTACTCCCATGACCTAACTGATAATCTAATCCCTATTAAACAAGTTATGGTTTAGCTTGAGATAACACATACTTTTCCCCAAGTAAATAAGGATCCACAATCTGTTATTATGGCTGAATGCGAAAGACCTGTGGATAGGTCCGCTATTCGACCATTCAGTAAATGTTTCGTTTCACGCCAACCCAAGCAATCTCTGGGGATCTCTGTTGGCAGATTCGAACACCAAAAAATATAGTTATTACTTCTTATAAAAACGATTTCCCTACAGTCCTTTCCTCTGTTTTAATTCTGTTCGCATTTTTCATGCGTTTCATCACGAATGTTTTCATTTTTAGTTCTCTGGGGTTTCGACCCCATTCGAGAATTCGGTTGTCATCAGTTACTCCAACAGAGTGATAAAACTTCGTTGCAATTTTCACGAACTATATCAAGTTAGAGTTGGGTGAACATTAGTCTTTCAAGATTTCTTACTTTCGGTGATTGCGCGCCTATATCGATAGGACGGAACTGATATATTTTCCTTATATCGTCAGAGGATCCAGACTGCCCATACGAGCTATTCCCTTAAAAACCACTGAGACAATAATCATTAATCCGCTCACCTGTTATCAGTACAGTCCCATCATCCGTTAAAGCCAAAGTGTGAGCTCGTCCACAAGATACAGAGATGATACAGTATGAGCTGAAATTAACGATTGATTCAAAAAAAGAGGAAAGAAGAATACTCTAATTTCACTTGTGTAGGTACATAGATATCCGAGATGAATCGAGAACCTTGCCCCAGTTGACCGTATAATCCCCATCCCCATGTCCATAAACTAGCATCTTCGCATAGTATAGCACAGTGATATTGTCCACAGGAAATACTTTTGATAGCTGGCAAAACTGTGTCCAATAGCTGTAACAGAATAGTAGAGAGAAACACGGATATAGTAATACTTGAGGCTCATTTATAGGATTACTATGACCAACACCGCATTGACCGTATCTGTTAGTTCCCCAAGCAAACAACTGATCTTAACGAAAATGAACGTTGGAAATCGGATAACGATAACCGTGAACATTACTTGAAGTTGTTAAAACAAGTACATGTTCTGAACCACAACCGACTGTATGTGGTCTGCCTTCCATGTATATTGAGTGTGGAAGCTAAAAAATCTCTTTAATTTATGTGAAAAGTGAAAGAACCTGGGATAATTTCACAGTGTTAGTGAGTGAATTGGAACTATCTGGGGAAGACGATCTTTGTGAAATATTTATGACATCTGAAACGTAAATAAAAAAGGACGTTGAAGGAATGTTGGAAAACCATTAAAATCTCTCTGTTTATTTATAATATCTCCCCAAACGGTAACACGATCATCTAGAGTTATGACAGCGGAAGAGTTCAGCCCGCACGTTATTCTTCGACTTACAGAACTAATTTTCTTGAAATATTTTTAAAATCACATAGGTGAAAATATCGGATCATCTTACGGAATCAGTTGGTGATTCACTTAACAGATATACAGAGGATAGGAGATACAACGCAGATGATTGTCGTGGGAACCTAGAGACGAGTACAGAAAATATTAAAAAACATTATATTCTTACTTGGTTCTGAAATAGCCAGCTATTCGAACACAATGCTCATAATGTGCAGAGCTCAGAAAATCTTTTTGCCATACACATAATAAATTTAAAATTCTTTCTCCGTGTATGCTCTCCACGCCGGACCAATCCAGTTGAAAAATACAGGAGAGTACCTTCATAAAGAATTTATAAATATCAAAATCTGAACGAATACCTGCGAACGTATTGTACGACTAGCTCCTTTCCAAATATTCTCTCCATTATTTGAAAGGAACTCAATAAGTTTTTCGGTTGCTTCTCTGCTTCTCCCCGCTATTATACATGAACTTTTCCACAGCGGAACTTGCAGGAGTATATTAATATCGGAAACTACATCCGGAAACCGGGATAGAATTAAACTGAATTTCATATTGAGATCAAAACCCCTTAAGAATGAAACCTCAACTCCTCATCATTTTCCTGGCAAAATGTTTCATAATCATCACGATCTCTTTCATTCAAACATTTTCGAGCATATAACTCGATCACTCGAACTCGCAATGGACTTCTAACATTTTTATCGATTATACTGAGAATCTGAGACACATGCTTACAAAATGTACGAATTAGTTCAACTACCTGACTTAATAAACAGTTCTCATGACTCGTAGCTGAGAAAATATCAATAAGTTCCTCCATCGCTATCTGGAAAGAATAGTTAAGATACTAAAAAAGATTCGTCTACCTCTAAGACTTTAGCTATTATGAGAATTTTACTCAAATCTTTTTTGCAGATCTTAGTGTTTTTGCGTGACTTCAATAAACAAGGAATAATTGAACGCTATAAAAGACAACCAACATTATTTTGTTCTTTATAATCTTCTATTTTGAACCTTAAACTCGGCAAACTGGATACTGCAAGCTTCAGCTACATGTAGCGCTTTGTTCATAGAAAACACAGGAACGCGAAATAAGAATTCGGATGCTAGTTCAGCGAGAGTTAACCTGGAAACGTATTCAGAACTAACAAAAACAATAGAAAGAACACAGTTTCAGCCTTGAAGAAAATATCGAATGTAATGCCTGAGAACAGCTGTTGCTTTGTAGTAATCAGAAGCAACAGTGAGCTTAGTTTGTTACGTGGTATAATAATAATGAATTGAAAAACGAGCGATGTTCAACTGATTGAACTAAAAATACTCACTCTGAACATTGAAATAATTTCATTAATCCCCGTTCATTAACAATCATGCATGAGGACAAGCATAAATGCAACCTAGGCAGTGGGATAAGTCCTAAGATTCTCCATTCTGCTATATTTCTGACCAATGTGTAATCCAGCCGAACGCATTTCAACTGATGGTACAAGTTTAACCTTATATGAACGTTTTCCTTACTCCAAAGTGAACAGCGGATCTAAGCTCAGACTGTCCTGAAACCACAAATACGACGTCATCAGTGAACAAAGCTAAGCGTGTATCTTGTGGAATCTAAAAAAAAAGTTTAGGTTCAATAAGGTACTTGTATTTAACTTTATAACTTTTCAGAATATTTTGATCTATGAAGGAAATGTCTTGATATAGTTGTACAGTGTCTTCTTTAATGGCTACCAAATTTGAGTTTTGAACAGAAAGATCAAAAATAGTCGAATCTAGCTGAACGCAGTAGATTGAAGAATGTATGAGGGCATTTTTTACTTTCTTGAAGTCGTTGGTATCGGAAGTAGTAAGAACTTCGTTATATCCTCTTCCATTATTTTCCAGAGGAATTATCCATTGTGCCCCCATGAAGCTAGTCACCTACATATACTTGAATGAAATAGAGCGTCAGAGTTTTTCTTGAAACCAAAACATCAGTCGTCATTTCTCTGGGGTTCGAAATTATATCAACTTTATGTAAACTTTCCAGTGCAGTTAGCTCTGCTACACATTTTCGAGATTCCAAATCTATCAAATATATGGAACCCTTCTACAATATTGTTATAAAATGACATTTTCATCACTTGACCAACCTTGTTCGTTAAAACTACAGATGGTCTCGGAGGGAACTTTGTCATGAAACACTTCATTGATGTTGGGATCACTTGAAGCGAATCAGCACCAGGTGAAATAAAGTTTATCAAAACTGGTGCTGCGCGCAATGTGGAGTGTGCACTACTCGTTGACCAAGTAACATCCTAGAACCGAATGAATTAATATTATACCATTGGGATCATTCAAAAATGTAGCCATGAAACAGGTGATTAATCATTCTTAATTCGTGTTAACCCGATATAATACTGCCCCCATGAGTTTGATCAATTGATCATGGTCTCATAATTCAATGCGATATTTATAGAAAACACATACCAGTAAAATCTTCAAAGGAATCACTAAAATATCGCCATCAGCCAACCCAAGAACTATGAAACTAGCATCTGGAGCAACACATATGGTTTTTGGATTTATATTTCTGAACATCGTGTAACGTTTTTATCATTCGAGGTTAATAACCTGTCACTGAAACTTCTTAAATTCACAATTTTCTTCCTTGGACCTGTTGACCCGACTTCATAAAAGGCTTGTAAATCAGCTACAAGCGAAAATAAAGAAAAAGAATAAGAACTGTCTCACCATTCGAAGCTAGAAGAAAAATGAGCAGGAATCCATTTTCCGATAAGTAACAATAATCAATAATAGAATCGTCTGTGCCCAAGTTATCGAACTCTGTTTCATAAGTGTACGGATTCTTCATAAGGGTATTATGACCTGAACAGTTTTATCAAGTTTTAGAAATCATAAGAAGAATAGAAATAACACCTCTAGTCTGGTGATGTTTCTTAGAGCTTTGTTTATTCAGACTTATTAGGCAAGAAAATTGATTAAGTTTAGAACATTCCATTTTAGACTTTTTGAACAGAGCATCAATATGCGAAAAACGTTGAAATTGTGTTATAATAGTGAGCCAGCATTTCACCCGTCATTTGTCAAGAACAGGCCACGTTACATATATCAAAGTGCGGATAAACACCAGATTTAAATGAAATACGATTTTGAAATCTTGAAGACCTCGACGCCGAAAAAACAATAAGAAGACTGAGTGATATCAACCCGCAACTTTTCTGTTTCAGATAAATTTTTAAGAGCTCGCAAATACTGTGTTTAAACATAACAAACTATTTCACTCGCGAGGAAAACAGAAATCTGTGTTTTGTTTATGAAATTTATTGGTGGGGAATGCTTTCAAATTCATAATATCCGTGGAGCATACTTCAAACCACTCTCAAGGAAGCGCGAACATTTTTGTAACAACTCATTGTTGGTGCTGTTTAATTTATATACAAACTGTTGATGTTTTCCGATTCTAAATTGTAGTCTAGACTTCTTATATGATTCAAACATTCACATCAAAGAGTATCCACTGATATTTCCGTTGAACCGTTCACCAATAATAACGTGTTACGTGTGAATGAGGTATACAGAGGCCATTCAAACTTTATACAATGCAGAACTCTACGAAGAAGTAGTGTTTCTACATGAGCTCGATAGCAATACAACTGGGTATGTGGCTTAACATATTTTTCGTAATTGAATAGTTAACTTCTTTTCACTTTCTAGGCTCACTGTGAAACAGGAGTATATGTACAATGTTTATATTGCAGATTCGTATTCATATTTAGAACAGTATAAGCATGGCATAAGAGTAAGAGTCGAATAATTCATTTGTAGGCGTGATCGTTTCAGCATTATGAGCTTGCGACGCTGTTATATTTTCGAATATCTCGTGGAGTTATCACAAAGGTTAATCCGTCCATAGTTTTCTCATCATGATCGGTTGCAGAATTTCGCGGAGAGCGATGTTCGTTACCGGTATCACAAATGTTTATTGAAGGAAAATAGACATGAAGATGCTTTAGGTCTGTTTCGGACTTTAATTACTAGTCTCAAGTTTTCATTTTTTTTTTTAGATGTGCTATTGAAAGTTCCTACAGAAGCTTTGACACCCAAAATTTGTTCAGCGATCGCTAAAATGTTGCACGCAAAAGAAAAAGTAATTCTAGAAAAAAATATGGCCGTCAAATACATGAGGTATTCTGAAAAACTTAATTGAAACTATTGCTTTAACTTCCAAGAAGTATAATCGAATCATGCCCAATGGCATATAAAACTCTAGACGAGTTGGTTCGTGCAGGAATCAAAATTGATTTTGAACTTGATAGGAACTTCAGAAATACTAGTGCTTTAATTAGAGCGCACAAAAGTATTTATGAAAATGATATAGTATCAGCTGTAAGAACTCTAACTACAGAAGGTGCAGGAATGAAGTGAGAATATTTTGCTCTTGTTTTTCTTTCATTAATTCATTAATTTAGTAGAACAATATGTATTGAGTTAGGAAAGCTATTTTATATGGTGGGCATGAGAAATGATGCAAGATCTGAGCTAGCAAAGGCACATGCTATTGACGAAGATAAAGCGGACGGAATGGATATTTTAGCATATATATATTCAACGGTTTTACTCTCTAGAAGGAATTAAAAGACCCTCTATTCCTCAGGATTCAAAAACTCGAAAGTATTTGGAAGGGCTTGCCCCCACTTTGATAAGGAACTGTCCAAATGCAGTAGAAACTTATATAGCGTTTGGGTATTTATCCAGAGCTTTAGGTTTATCTGTTCTTTTCAACAGTTCCTGGTTGATTATTTGTAGGTGGAGCAAAACATCTCTCCAGTGCGCTGCAGTTTTCTTATAAAGCCTGCAATATTAAACTATTCGGTGGCCGAACGCACAGCGGGGCAATGTTGCTGAAAGCTCTGGTACTAAAAGATATGGGTTAGTTGTCTTTTGAATATATCAAGCTGCCTGTTTAGATAGATATGCAGACGCCATAACTCATTTGAAGGAAGCCATTCAAGACGATCCACTAAATTTCGACTTGTACGATACAATTATATCTTTTTTCCTGCAAGAGAATAGGTACCACCATCTTGTTAAACTATCCGATTTCTTCATGTTTTCAAGTTATGAAGAAGCACGTACCATCCTCACCGGTTGTTCTGTTTACCATGGTAGCGATCCTCGTGTACATGTTTTAGAGGCGAAACTTTTGATGAAGAGAGGAGTTTACGAAGATAAAAAGGTTGCCTTCCTATTCCAATCTGCTAATGTTCTAACATAGGAAGCTCAAAGAATGTTGGAAAGAATTGTTGCCAAGCATCCTTTCCTTCTTGACGCAGCAATCGTTCTTATGGAATATTATGAAGCTACAAACAACTTTACTAAAGGCATCGAAATGCTCAATAAACTGACGGTTCGTATCAAGTTATATCAGAGTTACATATTTCTTTCTTATAGAATACTAAGTTTCCCTATAGTTCCTTGGCGATGATTCATCATCTTCTGGGGGAATTTTATGTGAAATCCGATAAACCACTAGAAGCATACAATCATTTTAACTTGGCAATCATTAATGGGCACACAGATAGTATCAACGAAGTATGACTAGAGAAAAAGAAATTTTTATGATTCTCATTCAGCTTGAGTTGATTAATAATGCTTTGGCTCAATCAGGTGGCATACAACCTAAACAAAGCACTGTTATTCCTAGGGCGCCTCCAACTTCCCCTCATTCGAATCTATTGCCGATTCCCTTCAATTTATCTTCAAATTCTCCAGATCCATCTCTGTCTAATCAAGAAATTATGGATGAAGATCCTCCGCAAATTTAGTCAATAGTGAGTTTTATCACGATTCTGATTTATAGAAGAATATGGTGTTACAATAGTTTCATATAATTAATGCTCGACGTTACTTTATATTTTATGGTTTAATAACAACTAAAATGAAACATTTTCACGTTTTAAGCTGTAATTTGACCGGGATACGCATCAGATCTGTTTTTTCTCAGCAAAAATCTAAGTGAAAGATTAGTTGGCTTCGAGATCTATAAAGAAACAACCTCATTTTTCTGTTCATATCTTCATTGAAAAGGGCTGCAGAGGCTTCCATAGATAAGCTTTTCCGTTGAATATAGGGTTTCTGATAGAATTGAGTTTTCCTTATGATCTTCAAAAGACCTTCGGAATCCATCATTCTGAAAGTCCGATAGTCAGTTTCTGCATTATAACCTTACCTGTTCAGTAGTTGAAACGCAGAGTCGACATCGTTATCCTTAACTAGGACAGTTCGGGTAGCAAACCTAGGGTGCGCATTCCAAATACCCTTAAAAAGTTTCACCGCAAATGGTTGATGCAATGTTCCTCTCCAAGTTCTGGGCATCTTGTGAAAATATATTATGAGTTAAAGCATGCTGCTGCATCTCGAAAATTAAAGGGCGGTAATAAAAGTTGCGGGACGAATTTTTTAGCAGTGAAGTTCGATAGTAGAACGCGAGGGAATGCTCTAATCATAAACAGCTCAACACTGACTTTGCTAAGAATTTCAGATCTTGAATTGTTTTCGAATATGAATATACAAGGGTAGGTAAAGTTCAAAGAACCGGATATAGCGGAAATTTCAGAACAAACCGCTTATTCGAAGAAAGTAAGTACAAGATCGTTTTAGAGGCAGGCTTATCTTCGCCGTTTTTGAACTTAGTTTCTTCTTTGTGTCATGAGATATGTTCTCTATACGAAATAAGTGACTTGAAACTAACAGTAAAAAATGACGAAGAGTTGAATGGATTTCTTCTCGATCTAAGTGTACTGTTGAGCGAATTAGGTTGAGCAATCAGAACTAGTCAAACTAACAAATTATGTTTAGAGTGCCCGCTGGAATCTATAACATGTGGTTCATTAGAAACTAGATTCAGTTCGATTTGCAACAGAAAGAGGCTGATTGAATATCTCATGTCTGAATTAAGGACTGCGAGATTGTCTGCTTTTTCCAGATTGAATCAGCCATCCACGGTATTTTTGAAAAAAAACTCTAATTGTTCTAACTTTAATCATCACACAAGAGCTTTGATAGTCAAGATGACACATGGAAAGAAGTGAAAGCTTGTTTAAATACTCTAGCAGTACCTAAACCACCCTACCTTCCAGATGCTCGTGATATTATTCGTAGTATTACGTCAGCTGTTCGTTGATGACTACGGATGATTAAATATAATTTGTCTACTTTAGGCGATTGTTCGCTTGGAATCCTACTACGAGTGTCCGATTCCCATACTCGCAATTCCTATTGATTTGCAAAGATATAAGGCTATTCTTGAAGTTTTTTATATTTAAACACTTCCATGAAATCATTCATACTTTCAGTTAGCGAAGACATTCAGTCAAGATTGCCGAGCCAGAAATCTTCTGTTTTTGAAACGAATAGATGTAACCATCAACTCCTTTCTCTGGTTAATGGTCGATTATTTGAAATTGTATTTTTTACTTTTTTTCAGGTCAGAAAGAATTAAAGTTTTTGAGACTGATATTATGAAGCTTTTCGCTGAACGGAGAAACTCTCTAACACATTCTTATGTTCCGGGGGTTAGTGATTTATTGGCTGCAACTCAATACGTGATGGTAATCGAACAAGCTAGCAGTGCAGAGAGAAGGTAAAATCATTCAAGTTATTTATAAGTCCGTATTCAGAACAAACACTAGAACTCTGGTTCATCCTTTGACAAAATCTGTAACTCCTTTGGATAGAGGTGGTAGAACCGATCCACAGTATTTTGCAAGGAAATTAAATGATAGTTTCGCTCGTCGAAACAAATAATACAATTCATGCTACAAAAAAAAGTTAGATTCCCAATAAACATATGTCGTACTGTTAAGATTAGTGTTTTGTCGACTGTTTCTAACATATATTTCCTATATCTCAGCTTCAATGTTATTCTAACGTTGCGATGTTTTTGAATCTTTCTTTACCTCATGATAGACAATTGTTTCACATTCTCATCGATGTGTTGTTTACAGTGATGGCGTATCTCGTGTACATGTTTTAGAAGAAGCGAAACTTTTGATGAAGAGAGAAGTTTATGAAGACAAAAAGGTTGTCTTCCTATTCAAATCTGCTAATGTTCTAACATAGGAAACTTAAGGAATGATGGAAATAATTGTTGCCAAGCATCCTCTTCTTCTTGATGCAGCTTTTGTTCTCATACTACAAACAACTTCACTAAATGTGTCGAAATATAGAAAAAATTGACGGTTCGTGTCAGGGAGCACCAGAGTCTAATATTTTTTCTTATAGAAAACTAAGTTTCTCTATATTTTTGTAAGGCGTTGCGCCGTATATTCCCAAACGACTAAACTAGTTGTGTTTATATATTGAACGTATTTTCTCAATATAATTAGTGATCGTGATTACCTTCCATTGTACTCGTTTCGTATATTTGGCTTCTCTTAATTATATCTGAATTTTCTGTTTCAGGATGCGATTGATCACAAGCGGGTACCGCCTGTGCTTCCAAGCTATAAAGGAGAACTCGAGATTAATCACTTATAGAAGATCAACTACTGGTGCTTTCAAGCATATTGATAAACTGATAATAGATTGTCCAGAAGATGCCGTTGAGGTATTTGAATCATAACAGTATTATTCCTCAAGAAAAAGCGATTGGTTTTCAAAATTACTTTTGAACTTGAAGATAGCTACGCGACTAACTCATGGAGAACAGAAGTTGTTGCGAAAAGCTCTGGAAGATGTAGGCAGGGAACAAAAATCTGTAATATTGAGTTGATCACTATTGCATTAAAGCGACTTCAGACTACGGTACCGTTAACAACAGATCAATGTCGAGCTCTTTTTTGGGTTAATGCTATACCATTCATTGCTTTTGGTTTTTTGGACAACATGATCATGATCTTTGCTGGGGAATTTATTGACCAAGTTTGCTTTTACTTTCTTGTAATTTGAAAAAAAACAGCTCTATGGAACTTTTTCGATCCTTTTTTTCTCAAGCTTATATGATTTAGAAGTTAGGCGTTTATCTGTGTATATCGACAATGGCAGCCGCCGCCCTGGGTAACTTGGTTTCTGACGTTGCTGGTGTTGGACTAGCGCACTATGTGGAAATACTAGTGAATAAAGCCGGTATAAAACATCCTGCACTAAATCCTCAACAGCTTGAGAGCAATAAAGTGAATTCAATTGTATTACGAAGAATAATCACTCAATATTTTAGGCGCGGTGTACCACTCATAGCGCTAGAGCTTTAGGACTGAGCTTGGGTTGTATAATTGGAATGTTTCCTCTTTTATTTTATACCGATCAGAAAAATGATTGAAATATTGCTTTAAAAATGCATCATTAGCTTAGTTAATTTAGTTCTGAGAAGCAGGACTTATAAAGTGCCATAAAAGCTCTTGCATGTGATTTCTTGTACATAATTTGTAAGATAGATTCTTTAATACAGTTTTCACACCAACTTTATTTTATTGATTATTAATTGGCTAGCCAAATTCCTATTTATACGTTCAGATAGAGTTTTCGATAGTTACATAACGTGCTCTATTGCTAAAACGCAGAATAGAATAACAGAAACCGAATCGAAATAGTCTACTGCAATACTCAACTATCCTCAAGAATAGCTCTCATCTGAACCCACTTAGTTTTCATTCGGTAGAGCTGTTGCAAGTCGAAAATTGTTGGAAGTTCAGAATGAGCGGTGGCCAATACTTCTCAACGTACGTAGAAGACTTGGAGCAGGTTGATTAATAGTTTTGTATAAAATTGTTAATGTAATCGAAGGATCCTTTCGATGCGATGGATTTTGTAGAGCGACTTGCTTGGAGAATGACAGGAGGATCCGAAACAATATCAGATCCCATAACGCTGAAGAATAAATTTGAGGAAGAGATAGGAAGTTTGCAAATGCTGTGTGAACAGTTTCAAGTTCGATACAAGTAGTAATCTTTCTAAATATTTCGTTCAGAGCAAGATAAATAATCTGGAGAAAGAACTTGAAAGAGATAAAACTGATTACGTGAAGAAATTACAAAATCTATATGAAAAGAATGGTGACGCTTTAGAGAAAATGAAAGTAATGCAGTTTCATTTATGCAATATGATTTTAATGTTCAGCAATTGGATTCCACTATGCAAAACGTGTCTGCAAAAGTTGTTCATCTAGGAGATCAGTTGGAGTCTGTCAGTATCTAGGCATTTTCATTATAAATCAGAAATTTTAGGTGCACATTCCGAGATCTAGAGCTAACGACGCTCTTCAACTTATCCAGCATTTTGACGAATTCTTGTCTGAGCAGCCTTTGAATTCAATAATTTTTACCGATCCAGATAAAGTTTGCCATATTAACAACACTTTTGTAAAATCAGTTTCTAGTTGTTGGAATCAGCTGATTTAATTCAAAAGCTATACTCTATATCACAAGAACTCTCCCATGAAAAGTTTGCGCATGTTCAAAATCGTATAGCACACAGATACAAAGAAGTGGAAAACTTATTAATGGAGGAGTTTGTGCGCGCCCAGAGAGATGAAAAAAAGATGTCCGAAGTTGCTAAAATTTTGAGCGAGTTTAAGGTAGATTGAGTTGTTTGCTCTTACTTGACTTAGATCAGGGATACTCGGACTGTGTTGATGGCTATGTTGAATATATTCAAAGTCATTCCCACAGCAGAAACGGAGATGTTTTTGCGGATGCTCTGCAACTAGTAAATCATTATAAACCGAAAATAGAATCAATATTCCCATCACCAACTCAAGTGATTCAAAAATTAGTTCGTTCTACTCATTGATGCTCGAAAGCTCCATCTTCTTTTTCAGGTTTTGAATGTTTTTTCGGGAAAAATCAAAGAAAATGTCTATGCGAGACTGAGAGATTGTAAAGAGTGTAACGACAACGAAGGATACCTAACGGGTTTGGCACATTCTTTCTCTAGGTTCGCAAATTTTTTTGAATGCTTTATTTTTGTTTTAGCGCTCTCAAATTATGTAAAGAGCTGGAGCAGTTACAAGTGAGCTCAGACTCTTCGTTTCTGCAAACTCTGACTCGAGGAATTTTCGACAGGTTCTTTTAAAATCATACCATATACCCACAAATTTTAGATATCTTTCAACTTATGCAAAAGAAGAGTTGGAATATCTGAATAGCCAATGTGCTTCTATCCTAGGAACGTTCTATAAATTCTCAGGCCATATAAAAAAACAAATCCAAAGCGGAGGGTAAGTGTTGACTACAGTTCTTTATACTTTCCTTCTCCATTAGTTTTCAAGAGCTGAAGCGTGATGTCCAAGCCAGGTTATTGCCTGTGGAAACATATGGTGGAAAAACATTTTTATCCGAGGATGTTGCGATCAGTATACTACAAGAAACGAAAAATGCTTTTTCTAGAACTTCACAAGTTAGATTTAATTTCTTGCTTCAGTAAATTTCTCACTTCAGCTATGTAGAAAAAGTGATATTCCACAAGTTGTCGATAGCATTCTGGATGTGCTATTGAAATATTTATATTTTGAACACTTGGATTATGCAGTTGAACTTGCCATAGCTGGTTTGGATAGTCTTTCCTTTTTTCTATAAGTTTGTTGAAGGTATAACACTGGTGGCGGAACCGAAAACTGAACCTCCCCCATATATATTTTCCGTTGTTGCTCAGAATACTGCAATTGTATTATTGTTGATAAAACAATATGAAGACTCGGTTTATCCTTCAGTGAAGTTTTTTTTCGTTTTATACATAATGATTATCTATTTCTTGAGGAACACCTCAATCGAACAAGCTGTAGCTAAAAAATGGGCAACCGCACTCCTCTCTTTAGAGCAGAAGATTAATTTAGGATTAGAACGGCAACTGAATGCGATAAGTGAGTATGAACCAGTGAAACCTTTTTTTTCAAAAGTCTTATATTTTTCAGTTGGTTATTGTCGCTATATTTTGAATACAGAACAGAAGAAAACGGATTTTCTGAAGTCAGATAAGGAGCAGCTCAATCTCGGTGGATCCATAGTTCGACAAATTAGTTTTTGAATATATCCTGAAATTTCATTCCTTCTAGGCCTGTCAACAGGTTTTGAAATTTCTCAAGCTTCAACATACTGCAATGGAAAGAGGCTGCGACGGAGAAAACTTGATTGTTTTACAATCGGAGCTCGCATCACGCCTTCATAAAATGCTTGTGAATCATGTACAGCAAGTATGACGCTGCTTTTTTTGAAGAGATTGTTCAATTTTTTTTGCAGTTTATGTATGACTCTGCAGGAGCTATGTCATTGTTGTGTGATCTGAATGTTTACAAACAATATATCCTAACATGGAAATGTAATGAAGCTAATGCTCTTTTCGACGGTATAGCTGAAAGCCAAAAAGAGTACTGCTCGTTTTATTTAGGTCTACTTGCACTAGCCAATCTCCTAGTGGTTCTTCCTGAAAACTTAGCTGATGCAGCTAACAGTGCTGTCTTGGTTCGTAATTTAATGAAGGCTCTTATGCATGGATTCTTTAAGGCTGATGTAAATCGTTCTCTCATTCATGATTTCTTGAAACTTCGTCAAGACAGAGGATTCAGAGTTAATACTAGTCCTAATGCATATTAATTGTTTTCAATTAAAATAAAAATAATTTTCAATTTACCACACCGTGATCATGTAATTTTGGGTTGTAACCGGATAATATTTTTAGCTATTACTGCCAGCTGGTTTAAGCTGTTTTTAGAATGTCTTTGGAAGCATTACGTTTGAAAAATCTTGGGAACGATGCTTTCAAAAATAAGCTCTATAATCAAGCAGTAAAGCTGTATACAGAAAGTCTTCTACTCGAGCAGGATTCAGTTGTATTCAGTGAGTGCCTCATTTTCAAGTTTATTTTTCTTCCGTTTATCAGGCAATAGGGCACAAGCTCATATCAATCTCAAGCAATGGGAAATGGCTCTTATGGATAGCAATGCTGCAGTTAAATTGGATGGAGCTTGCGCCAAGAGTTACTACAGGTTTGTTCAGATTATTAATGTTTGTAGGGATTGTTGCTGATTGTAGAAGAGCAACAGCCTATGATAACATGGGGTTTCGTCCTTTAGCTTTATGTGATGCTAAAAAAGCCTTGACTCTCTCTTCAGATCCAGCTATTCAAAACCTTTACAAAAAAATTGAAGCTAAGGTATAATAGTCATGAAAGTGAGTATGAGTTTTATAGAAATTTTCTGAAATAACCTTCGGACGTCCATGTGAAATGGGAGACGAATTAAGATCGGACTTCTTAAAAACAATACATATAGAACTTGAGCCTACTGAAAAAAAAGTAGGCGTCTGGTAATCTAATTTGTGAGGCATTATATGAGATAGGATAGTCTTGAATTGGATAAAGCGGTGGATAACAGTTTCTGTTACGATATTTTGGAAGTTCCGAAGACTGTAGACTCTTTTGCTAAGTTCCTTGCCGATTATGAGTCTCTAAAAAAACATACTACACGACTGGCAGAATATTTCTTGGTGTGTTTCTTTTTCAAAGCTTGGTTACACTGCAACGTCAGTAATTCCGCTATTTCAGCACATTCCTTTGGAAAGATATACAATCTTATTCGATGATTTGATGGAGATTCAAATTTTCTCGGATTTGCTCAAAGGCTTTGTACATCTACTAACGACTGAAGTAAATGTGTTTCAACTATGAAGAAAAATTTTATTCAGAATTCGAAACATGTCTACGATCAATCCGTTGCGAGTTGTTTGAAGACTCTCCACAGCGTCGACAGGTTCGATATGGTTATTATGTTCATGAGTGTAGAAGATAACAAAAGTAGTTGCTCTCGTTTTCAGCGAATGATCGCAGTTCATTTCAGATTTAAAAACTATTTGTGATCAGCTGTCTCCAGAATTTCGTGAGGATATTCTACAACTATTCACTCAGAAGTTATAAACCTCTTCTTTATTCCTTTCGAACTCGCTTGGTTTCAAAAGTAACACTTTTAAAATAAAATTTCGCTCGAAGTTTGTAATAATGTATTGTGAATGCTCTTCGTGTTGTGTTGTTCGTCAAATCATGTTTTTAGAGCGTTGTGAACCATATATATGCTGACTGTACAACTATTATAATACATTTAATATAGTCCTAAGGCTTATTCAAATGAACCGCATGCATCCGTTATTGAGCTGCTCTTTCATGGCTGATGAAAGAGTTCGATGTCATCGGAAAATATGAACCAGAAGTTTTATATTCATTTCGCTCGAATCGCAAACTTGTCATGTCAAACCAGACGGAAGCGTTTCTTTCAGTTGTTTGTCTGTCAGGTTTCCTCATTACTGCTTCAGCTTTGTTCAACTGTAGCTCCTGCATACAGAACGTCGGTGACAACGAAGCTAGGTTTTAGAAAACCCGTAAGTTGGAAAATTTAAAAAAAAACTTGGTTTAGATGCGGTCCCGATTGTGTTTCCGATTACTGTTATCAAAGTTTGTATTATTATGATAGTGAATCATATTCAATTTCACAAACTGTAAGACTTTTGAAGAGTAGCATTCATGTTCTGTAGTGTTCTAGGGATGTGTAGTTGGTCCTTTAGTTGCGACTGGATGTCGGATGAACCAGGATGGGCATATCATATGCTTATGCCAGTTAGTTTTCAATTGTTATTATTCATGTTGTTTGTAAGAGGTGAGCATTGCACTACAAACTCTAGCCTAGTGGACGGGAGTGTCATGAGCACACTACATGCTCAGATATGTAAAAAAACTACAAATGATGGTATAAACTCTGTTTTACGATGGGAAAAACCTTGTGCAGGCAGTTACTGCATCTTTCGTAATTACACAGTCAGTTTTATTTTAATAATTGTTCATGTTATTTTGTTGTGTTTTTAGTATGAATACGAGAATACGACGTTGTCATCTGTAGTATCAGGATGTTCTTCCACCAACGACTTTGATCTTTTTTCACCTGGACCTATTTTCTTTTACTATCCAAATAATTGTGTTAAGCTGAAGTATATTGGACAACCTGACGATATTTCCTGCTATGGAGATACTGTGCGAAATTTTAAAATGAGTATTCATTGCATGTTTCTTTTAGTTCGATTATTCTACGATAAGTTTTTCCGCTGATGATTCGGTTGAATGCTATATGGATTATTATTCTCCAGCTTTACCTTATATCAGAACGTCAACGTTTTGTCGTGGACAGGTACATTGTATGACAATGTACTAGAACAACTTTTTTTTCCAGATGTGCTTCATATCATCAAATATACGAGGAGACGTTCAAAGAGGATGTGTTTCATTTGCCGCTGGGCTCACAGGGCAGAAAATGGAGGCATTTTCCCTGATTCTGATATAGTTGTGCTTTATCTCATTATTTAAGCCTCAGTATTACCGTTCTAATACGGATATGGAGGAATGGCTATGCGAAACCAATCATTGTAACTTTGATCTTATTGGCGCAGAAAACTCATGGGATGTTTCAAAATCTGAGTACAAGTAAGTTTGAGCTGAAAATCGCTCTTTATTTACCATTAAGAAATATTTCGCGGCTTCAACAGTGGAATGTTTTTTACATAATAAATCAAACACCTACAACATATTCTAATTGGTTTTTTCCACTTATTCTGATCTTTTTTTCGATATGGTGAAAAATAAAATTTTGTCTTGATTTTAGGAATTTGATGAATACATAGTTGCTCAACTATCAAATAAATACTTTATTACATTAGCTTTGTTTTCCGAACCTTATCCCGTTCTCTCTCACAAGAACCGGGAAATTCGACACCCATAGCCATAGATTTCTCGAAGCATATCAACCACATGTGACATTGCATTTGAAATACTATAAAAGTTGAAGTAACTCACTAAACTAGGGGGTTCTCGAAACATTCGTGGATATGAATGAAAAAAGTATTTCCGTGTGTACGTGTGATAATCTTCTAGTATTTGACAAGTCATTCAGACGTATGTTTATTCGAGCTATTGCTGAAAAAGATGAAACAATACTATGTTTACTTTTTTGAACAACTCTTCACAGATTCACTATTATTGATTAGCTGCTTGCCATTGATCACCAGATTCTACACAGAGCTCTCATTATCGGCATGTTATTTGCTTTTTTAAACTAACAATGTAAAATATGTTAAAAGGATATTTAATGTTATGATTCACAAGTTGATGTCTTTTTCAGTTCTTCTTCCTGTTTGTTCATCTGTATTTCTTACTTCCTATTTTACAATTTCTCGTAAATTTTCCCGCTTTTACTCATGGACTGTTTATACACACAGATGGCCACACTGTCCAGTCTATCCCCAGCTTTTATCGTTTTGAAAATCTTTATGTTTTTAGCTGTCTATTATTTTGTTTGTACTATTTTCATTTGATAATCATTCGTTTTATACGAATACATGTATGGTACTTCAGACATCAATGACTGTTTCTTATAACCTCGATCTCTCCAATGCTTCCCTGATTTCATTTGTTAAGTTGCAACTCCGGTGGCGAGGTTCAATTTGGAAATGCGTTTTCAAGGTACTCATGGAAATTTTGTTTTCTAATCCATATCTAACAATTTTCTATTTGAGGAGCTACTGATGTTTTCGATTTTCTTCGCTGCTTTGACTGTTACATATCGTTCTGACTATATACTAACAAATAAACAAAGGATGTTAGCGAGTAATAGGCTTCTTTTCATGTCTTCATTAACAGATTGTGGGATGATTTTGCTGCTTTGTTCGATCAGAAGCTCGACTATATACCTTTAACTTTTATGCTTGGTTTCTTCGTAACTATTATTGTTGGTCGCTGGAATGATATATTTCTGAACATGGGATGGATCGACAAGTTAGTACGCCTGGCAATTATCAATTTATTTGTTTTATAAAGCATTGCTCTTGCTACAGCTACATACATGAGAGGTAGTGATGAAAAAAGCCGCGTTCTGAGGCGTAATATCATTCGCTATATGGTTTTGACACAGGTAAATCAAAAGCCCCTTTTGTTTATCAAACTTTTCAGTAAAGGTCCTCTTATTACGAGATGTAAGCATGCAAGTACGACGTCGTTTTCCATCGCTAGAAACCATCGTAGCGTCTGGTGTTTTTTCTTCTTGGAATCGAGTTTTCATGATAATGTTTCAGGATTTATGCTCGAATGTGAGCTCACTAAGTACAACGAATGCTCTCAAAAATTCTCCAAATATTTTTTACCTGTTCAATGGTGTTTCACGTTATTATACGAAGCAAGGCAATCTGGAAAAATAGCATGCGATTTGATGTTGAACGAAATCATCAAGGTATTTGAATTCCGAACTTATCTTTCGTTGTGTTCTTATTTAACTTATCAGCATATTACTGATTTCCGCAAAGGACTAGCTCAGATCAGTAATTTTGATTGGGTTCCGATACCACTTGTTTACCCACAGGTAATTTCTTAGAATTGCTCAGTTTTCTACTATGCTAAAGGTTGTTTTTCTTGCTGTCCGCTCCTACTTCTTCGTTTCGCTCATAGCTCGGCAATCTATACTTATTGATGGCGAAAAACCGAAGCATGATAGCTTGGTAAGTAATGTCAGAATAAAAAAAATCTATGTTTATTGCAGCTTTTACCGTTCATCCCATTTATAATGACTGCTCTGCAATTTATTTTTTATGTTGGCTGGATGAAGGTTCTCATTTGAAGTATTTGTAGTTTATACTGATAGTTAAGGTAGCCGAAAGTTTGATGAATCCACTAGGAGAAGACGATGACGATTTTGAGTTGAACTTTCTTGTTGATAGAAATTTATCGGTTCTTGATCTAGGATAGCTAAGACTTTAGCGTAATGATTTTTTAAGGTTGGATTAACGATTGTTGATGATAATTTTAATGAAGCGCCTAGCCAACAGAAAGATATTTTCTGGAGTCGAGGTATCATAACAATTTCAGATTTTTACTTATGAAATTTTTAAAGAAAGTATTGAGCCGTTGTATTCTGCCGATGCTGCAGTGAAACCTGTGAATCCACAGATAGGATCAGCTTCACAATACGAGTAAATCATTTTTAATTTTCTTTCCATTCGTCTCCGTATCGTATTTAGACCACAAGAAGATGAAATAATGATGATGAAGCATGTCAATGCTGAAGACGGAATAGGAGATGATTTTTCGCTCAATGATAATAATATCGAGGGGAACAATCTCCTACAGCGTGGTAGCTTTTTATTATACAAAGTTGAAATACTTGCGTGGTTTTCAGGTGTGTCAATAGTGTCTGTAAATCGTCAATGTGGTAGCAGAACTAGTTTGGGAAGTAGAACCAAAACTGGGATATTGGACACATTGAAGAGACAGTTCAGTCGGTAGGATAAGCAGGAGTAGGAGAATAGAGAGAAATGGAATTTTGCAGAGATGGTAGAAAGCTTTCGAGACCCACACGCCTCACTAACTCACAATTTTCTTTGAATAATGAACTGAAGCCATCGTTTGAAGTAGGTCTACAATTGTACACTGTTGAATAATTTCCTAAACATGAAGGTCACATCTGAAAGTTCTACCGATATACTACGAGAGATCGCAGACGAATCTAGTAGAAATCATACGTTATTAACACCAGAAGGTATTTATTTTAAACATATTCTTTTAATATAATATACAGGAGACCTTATATCGCCTTCCCGTCGACCATCACCCGTAAACGATGTTATATTAACGTCCGTTCCTGAAGAGGATGAAGAAAGTCAGAGAACAAGAACATCGCATGATTTACACAAATGGAAGAAAATGATGGATAATAAGAAAAACTAAAACATCATTCAAATTTTGTTCCAAGACTGAAGCAATATTCTGTTCAAACAGTTTATCCTCCGATGAGGATTATTAATTAACTATTTTATCCATTGCAAATACCATGTAAGAACTATAATATCGAGTATTGAACCGATTATTCTCAAATTTGGAACGTTTTAAGCTGATCTCTAATAGATTTTGGTGGTAACATATGATATAATCTGAAATAATTTTGTTATTATTAAAGCATGATTGACGAATAAAGTACTCAGAACCTCTAGTTTGGAGTCCAATGATATTGTCTTTTGATCAAATGTAACCGGTTTTAGTCTCGATCGTCCTATATTGTGGCGGTCAACAGAGAAATTCAGTCTCTGAGTCATCGTTTTTCATCTTATCGATCACTATTTTCACTATGTCAATGTTTGAAAAATCTGAAAATATTTATAATGTATTATTTAGCTTGGAACTTTCATCTGAAGGTTGTAATACAGTTATTCAAAAATGTCTGATGAAGAGTATAACGGTAAATACTAGTAAACTGATAATCGAAATGGTTCCTTCAGAGTATAGCGAACCTAACTATGATGAGGAATACCTTGAAAACAACGATTATGCGTATGATGAAGAGCAGGATGACAACGAGTATGCGCCTTCCAATCACCAAGACATCAACGAATATCGTGAAAACAATGACTACACTCATGGCTACTATCAGAATCCCTCTGATGCTGGTGATCGCGATGATAATCAACAAAATGACAATATTTGGGAGCATGAAAATGCGAATGTAGAGGATTACCCTGGTGAAGAACATGGTTATTATTTTATCTTTTACAAGCTATCATCATGCTCTTCTAGACGATCGCAGTGGTGATTACGAATACCAAAGAGATGAGAGAAATAATTCTGAAACTAATGATTATTCTGATGTTAGTGACTCTTATCAGGAGAATGATCAGGTAAGCATAATATGTCTATGTTTGCTTGGCATTTCTGCAGGAAGAAGTTATGGAAAATTCCAATCAAGTGAGGACGGAAGATATTCCTACGGGAGGATCAGAGATACAGGGTTCGTTAGACTTAGATACCAGGATTTATGCTACTATTCAACTACTTAGGTCTTTTCTCTGGCTTCGGAGGTAATTCTTTCGGTGATATCGTAGGATCAATCGGAGGACTGAGCAATGAAGGAGGAAGTTGGCTATGAAAAACTTTCCATAGTTTCCAAGTTCAATTACAGTGCTCTCCAATCTCTTAAGCTCAAACGGTGGTATGGAAACAATGGTGCAAAACATGGTTGCTTCTGCTGCTCATCGGTTTTTGAACATCGACCCTGTTAGATTATATCATTATTCTTCTTAGTATTAATTTTAGGTTACCGGGGCCATAATCGGATCAGTTATCGGAAACATTATGTTCAATTTGGGTGGTCAGGGCAATAGTTTGAGTAGCATTGGAAAAGTCGTTCTGGATAACATAATTAGCGGAAAGTTCAGAAGAGATGTAAGAATGTCTTTTTTAAAATCGCAAATTCAATGGCTCAGATCAAACCATACACTCCCGTGTTTCCTACACATGTTCCGAGGCAATCTTTCGGGTTGAACTTTGAAACCGAGAGGCAGCGCTGTTTGAATGAACGGCGTCTTTTTGAAGATCCAGAATTTCCTGCCGTCTTTTCTAGTATCTGGTACAAACAAGAAAGCTATGATAATTCTGTCACATGGTTGAGACCAGGCGAAATAACGGAAAATCCACAGTTAATAGTTGGAGAGAAGTCTCGTTTTGATGTAAAACAGGTATCACATCCAAGTTTCAAATTTAGGCAAATGTGTTTAGGGAGAGCTGGGTGATTGCTGGCTCCTGGCTGCTGCAGCTAATCTAACTTTGAGAGATGAAATGTTCTATAGAGTAGTTCCACCAAATCAATCGTTCACGGAGAACTACGCCGGTATTAATATTCTAAAATTCTTACACCACGAACAATTTAGGCATCTTTCATTTTCAATTTTGGAGATATGGCACCTGGATCGATATTGTGATAGATGATCGGCTTCCCTGTAGAAATGGAAAACTTATCTATATGCATTCAGAAAATTTAAACGAGTTTTGGAGTGCTCTCTTAGAAAAAGCTTATGCCAAGTAAGAATATTCGTTTTAAAAAATATGCAATGTAAATGTTGAGACTCTACGGGTCTTATGAACACCTGGATGGTGGTACTATCGTAGAGGCTTTGGAAGATTTTACTGGCGGCCTAACAGAATCTATGGCTTTGGACAAAACCGATAAGACAGTTGTTCTTGCTATGATTGTTCGAGGAATCCAAATGGGTTCCCTGTTTGGTTGTAGTATTCATGTATGTTTCGGTTTAGAGATATAATAATTTCTTCGAAGGCAAAAGAGAATGAGAAAGAAGCTAAACTGGACAATGGACTTGTTTGTGGACATGCCTATAGCATAACATCAATCAAAGTTTTGAAAAGCTGCAGAAATCTCGTGATAATACGGTTACGCAACCCGTGGGGCAATAGTAAGGTGAGCTACATCTTTAGAACTCTTCATAGCTATGCTTTAGGAATGGAACGGACCTTGGTCTGATGGTTCTAACGATTGGGATACTATTTCAAACGATGAAAAACATGAGCTAAACTTAGCGTTCCAAAATGATGGAGAGTTTTGGTGATATTTCGGTTCTTGCATTTATAAAGAGTAAGAAACGTTTCCAGGATGTCATTCGATGATTTCATGTTGAACTTTGATGAGGTAGAAGTGTGCAATTTATCTGCCGACGTTATGAATGAAATAGCTGAAATGACTGGAGTAGGTTAACTTAATTCTTTCTTAATGAATTGGACTAGGTTAATCTCGACTCGTCTACTGTCAAAATGGAAACATGGGGAGAAAAAGCAGAGGAAGGTGAATGGAGTGTACAGCAAGGAACAGCCGGAGGTTGCATGAACTACCCAGGTTTTCTTGAGTGAGCTGAGTTTATTACTTCTTTAATTATAGAATCTTATGTTCTGAATCCACAATTCGCTTCATATTTCGAAATAACTCATGAATCATTGGAAGCTGACGGCAAGTGCACTGTCATCATAGCTGTTCTTCAAAAATTCCGAAGAGAAATGAGAAGCTGTGGCGAGGATAACCTACCGATTGGACTTTCTGTATATAAAGTTAATTGTTTATCCCCTTCAATCTAATTTTTACTCAACTTAACTTAGGTCGATGATATGTACAGTGAGAACTCTTCTATTACAAAAGACTTTTTCTTTTCTCACCGGCCCGAGGCTAAGACTAGAACTTATATTAATCAGAGAGAAGTGAGTCATTGATCATGAAATTTTGAAAAGAGCTGTTATAATGCTTCAGATGACTCTTCGTACCCAGCTGACGCCTGGCAAATATATTATTGTTCCATCAACTTTCGAACCTCATCAAGATGGCCATTTTCTGCTACGTATTTTTGCTAATTCTCCAGTTCAAACTACGTGAGAGAATATTCAAAAATGTTTACACTTAATTTAATTAATTATTTTTCACAGGAGATTGAGATGACAGAATTGACATTACTTGACTGCTGATTCTCAACTTTGAAGAAAGTTTCTCATGTTTAGCTGAAGTTTTGTGTTATTCTACGAAACAGCATGATAGAGTTCTACACGGAACATTGATTTGTTTTTCACAATATTCATACTTTCTCTGTCAATTTTCTACAGTTTTCTCGGAACTAAAATGTCTGTTCCAATCTCTTAGCCATTACAGCTGGTTCTCAATATCGAACGCTCTTTACAATGGATATTTAAACTAATTTTTTCTTTTGAAAAACTTTTTTTGATGTATTTTTTTAAAAGTAAATGATTTAAAATACCGTAATAATAAATACTTGCCTTCCAAGTTCCACGATTCGGAAATGTTCATCAATTCTTCGTTCATTTTTCATTTTCCCTCCCTCTATATCTATTAGGAAACAGCAATATATTCATACTATCTCTTGAGTAGATTTCTTAGTCCTTCTCGTTTT